CCCCTAACCCCTAACCCCTAACCCCTAACCCCTAAACCATGACCCCCGTCAACTCGTATAACGCTCAGTGCGACATCGACGAGATCCGACGCGGACAGACGGGCAACAAGAACCTCGAAGTGACCAAGCAGGCGTTTATCCTGTTTGGGAATGGCGATGGCGGTGGTGGACCCACTCCGCCAATGTTGGAAAAGCTTCGACGCGCGAGGGCCTTGGTGCAGTGTGGAGAGGCGACCTCGACCGATATCCCCTTGGTGAAGATGGGCGGAAGCTTCGATCGTTTCTTTGAGAGCGTGAAGAAGGAGACGATGAACGGAACCAAGTTGCCGAATTGGTGCGTAGGGGTACTGCGTGTGTGGTAACTCGAGGCTGACACATCGCTTGGTTGATAGGCACGGCGAACTGTATTTCGAGCTTCATCGTGGTGTGAGTGGTCGGGCAATCGTTGGCGATCACTTCGCTTGCTCACCCGTGAATTGATGGCGCTACCAGACCTACACAACCCAAGGTGAGGACGCGTCATCTTACGTAATCAGGATCGTGCTGATGACGTGCCACTGGTAGCCCTTGTCAAACGAGGCAATCGCAAGGGCGAACTGTTGCTGCGAGAAGTCGAATACGCCGCGACGGTGGCGTCGTTGCGAGAACCTCAGTATAGCTATCCCAAGAAGGTACGCGAGCTTGCACAGGTAGACTTTGTTACAATCTCGCTAACGATTTCAAAATACAGGAACTCGACGAAGCTTGGGAAGAGCTACTTCTCTGCCAGTTCCACGACTGTTTACCTGGCAGGCTAGTCGAGGCGCATCGCCTTGAACTTACGAGTAGCTAATCGACTCTGACCCCCTCTCGCAGTGGAATTCGCCTGATTTACGACGACGTCTGGGCCAAGCATCGCAAGGTCATGGAAATCGGCGCCAAGCTCCTCGAGACCGCCTATCAAATTTTGCATCCTGGCACCTTGCCCGTTGCGGACGACGATTACGTTCCCATCTATGACAGAGCCCAACTCGTCGTGGTCGACCCGCTGCGTATCGCTCGCAGAGAACTGGTTTCGATCAAGTGCGGCAACAAGGACGTGTTCAAAGCAGGCAAAGACACAACGTACAACGACAAGACGGCGACTGGCTATCTCTTGTCCACGCCGAGAGGATTTGATAGGGGAACTCCAGGCAATACCTGTGACGTCGCCACCACGCAGAACGACCCGAAGAGCTGCCGTGTCTCCAATGCGCGCATCAAGTTGGAGATCAAGGACGGCCGCATCGTCAGCCTGTTCGACGTCCGTCTGAAGCGCGAGCTCATACCCGAGGGCCAGACCGGCGGATTCATCATTTATGAGGACCAACCGGCGAATTGGGACGCATGGGACGTCGACGTGTATCACTTGGAAAAGTTTACCCGTCTCAGGTTTGACGAAATTGCCATCGTCGAGCAGGGACTGGCGCGAGTCTGTGTCGAAGGTCAGACGAGGTTCGGGTCTTCCAGGATGACTGTCAAGGTACGTGGTAGAGGTTAAGCATTTCTTAGGTGGGCCCGGCTGATCTGGTCGTCACTTCGTAGATCACCTTGGATTCTGCTACTTGTAGGTAGTTCGATATTGGATGTTCAAGCTCGATCGTTGATAGCCCGCTCTCCAACGACAGATTCGGCCAGAGATGAAGGCCGATCGCCTCTGCGCTTCGATGTCAAGGTGTAAGCCCGGTATCCAATTGACTTTACGGCGAGACGCTGACGCCCTTGCAACTCGTTTCCAGTGACTGGCGAGAGCGCCACAAGTTCCTCAAATGTGAGTGAGCTTTCGGCCTGGGTCAGCTGTCCTTGATTCCCTCAGCTAATTGCCATCTATGCTGCCCAGTCGAACTGCCTCTGGACATTCATTCGGACTTTGCAACGTATCACACGCAGTTCGGGATCGTCCGTCGACCTACGCATAGGAATACCAGTTGGGACGCTGCCAAGTGAGTATCGTCGAGCCGATCACCATATACATCACACTGACAGGTCTCGTTGCGTAGATTCGAAGTGTGCGGTCATCAGTTCGCAGACCGTAAGCTCTATTCCGATCCTCCGAAACAGTCGCGAGAATCTGACTTCTCACTATGTCTCTGACATATAGTCAGCGAATACGGCTACGGCGTGGCCATCCTGAACGAATCCAAATACGGCTATGCGACCGCGGGCAACGTCATGACCCTCTCCCTGCTTCGTGCGCCTACCATGCCGGATGCGGACGCCGACCAGGGAGAACACGCCTTTGCGTTTGCCATCTATCCGCACGTGGGCAACTTTGAGGAGAGCGACGTGTTCGAGGTGGCGGAGATGTTTAATTCGCCGTTGAGAGGTGGGCGTCCAGTTCGGGGGGATTTGCGCTTGGGTTGAGAGTCGTATGCTGATCTCAATGCGTGCGATCTGCCCGACTTGTGGGACTTTATAGTTCGTTGGAAGAAAGTCCTCGACCCGAAACCCGCCGCCGACAAATATCAAGACCCTCAAAAGAAGTCCGACCTGATCTCGTTCAGCCTCGAGGGCGCTCGAAACGTCGCACTCGAGACTATCAAGCGGGGCGAGGACGATTTCGACTTGACCGACGGCGACAATGCTGGCAATCATGTTGGTGATGGGGATGGTCTGGGAGGGAAGAGGACGGTCATCCTGAGGCTTTATGAGAGGTTGGGAGGACACGCGTCGGTCAGGCTCAACGTGTGAGTTTCGTCTGCATACGAAGATCAGAGCGCCGTTGTGAGAAGCTGCGAAGCTGACGTGGTTTTTTGATTACTGATTTGCAATTCGGGTAGATTCGGCCTGAACATCACCAAAGCATCGGTGGTGGATATCCTCGAGAGACACGTCGCGGACCTCGACCTGGAGAAGAGGCTTTCGAACGTATTGGGAGAGACGCTCGGACAGGAAGTGACGTACGTGGACCTGAAATTCAGAGGCTTTGAGATCAAGACGGTCAAGCTCGAGTTGAGCTGCAACGATGGCAAGAAAGGGAGGAGCGAGAGTATTGGCAGTGAGGATTGGGTCAGGGTGGATGGTGCGCTAGAAGCTTGAAGCGCGGGGTTGTTGATGGCTGTCGAAGGCAAGGAGAGAACGGTTGTTCGAGGTTAGTCCTTGTTTTCCTGGCGAGATTGCTGTGTTCCAGAGGTGTATCTGGTTTGAGGAGAAAGAAATAAGAAAAAAACGGTCGGTTGTAAGCTTGCTTTTATTATTATATGAATCTGCTAAGCGGTTTTTACATTATCGTCGCGAATCGTCCACGTTCCGAAGGCAAAAGCGTAAAAGATAATGATAATGATAGGGGAACGCCTTTCGGGGTAACAGATTTCTAGATGACGTCAAAGAACCTCGTCCTGGTATACTACATGACTGCAGTACCAGACGAGCAAAGCGCAGGACGACCGACTCCCTAAGATTTGTCACAGGACCAAGTCGAGCTTCCTGAATCTCTCTCGAGAGAGAATAACAGAAGAGTCCCCGGTCTCAACTCAGAATGTCGTACAGTACATCATCCCGAACCTAGGTGCTGACACTGCCTGTCAATGCGGAAGATCGGTTCTCGGTCGTACAGTACAGCTTGCTTAGTTGCAAAATGATCACAGCGAGAAGACATGGCAAACGGTATTGTCACAACTACCCGACGTGCCTTCTCTTCAGGCGTCGGGATGACACCATCGATTAAAGTGGATGGGCTTGAGTTTGAGTTTGAGATCCTCCGTTTTCCTATACCAAGAGCGAATTCGGCATTCCTCTCAAGTATACTCGTACAGTGCAAGAATCCTCATCTGCGCCTTGGTGGTGTGATCGTATTGTGGTCCGGTCTATGTTATGTAGGCGCGCTTGTATGTGTTATGTCAGCTTGTCACCTGCAGCAGTTCGACAAGTTCAGACGAGGGGATTTAAAGCTGAGAAGAGAGACGAGACAGACGAGACCAGGAGCGAGCGCATAGAGTCGAGTCCGAAGTTAGGTTACTAGACTGTTGACACTGAAACCAGACATGTTCCCCGCGTCGTGATCGAGGAGGGCGAACTTGTTTATGACGCCGCAGACGGCAGGTGACAGGTATCATGGCGAGTGTAAAAATGCGGTCGCTGGAAGATATCTAATATCATGAACAAGTATGCCCCGACTACGTCCGACATCTCGATAACTGCGAGGTTGTTTGGCTGCGCCCCCCATTCGGAATCAAATTTACATCCGAGGTCAATCGCTACTTTCGTAAATTCGTTGGAAGTCGTCGAAGTTGTTGCCAAGAGATTGCTATCCTGTCCGGGTAAAAGCTGGGAAGGGGGTCAGGCGATTGACATCGAGCAATAGGCAACAACGATGGCGACGATGTCAGCGTCGACTTGTAGACTCGCGCAGAACGATAGGTTTCCCGCAAGATCCAGCCTCCGGGTTACCTTTTCTCCACGATCAACTTTCTTCACGCTTCGTCTGCCAAGCCCTCTCCTCGACCAACTACGAAATAGTCACAATCTCACAACAAGACCTCGAACATGGACCAGGATGAATGTTTCGAAGCCAACACCCAGACGAAATTCGGATTACGTCTAGGAGGGCTGTTTGTGGTACTGGTGACGAGTTTCGTAGGGACGTTGGCACCGATCGTGTTGAAGAAGAGGAAATGGTGTCCGTTGGCCTTTTTCGAGTGAGTCAAGAGCGATAGCGAGCTAGACTTGGAGTGGGCAAGCCATACGATACGAGATCGAGAGACGGCGTGGTAGCTCTTTTCTAACTCGAGATTGACTTGTTTGCTGCTTGCCTATGTTTTCTACACTCGTTTGACGCTATTTATCGTTGAAGATTCGCAAAGTATTTCGGATCAGGAGTGATCATCTCTACGGCTTTCGTCCAGTCAGTAATCACATCTCCCCGACCCTCAGCTCTGATAGATCATCCCCGTTCTCAGTCTTCCTCCTTTTTGTTGCAAGATTCTGATCGATTTCTCTTTACTTGCTCTTCACTCTACTTCTCCCTACTCGCCTCACTCACGCACACTACATACTCTATCCCACTATGCTCTGCTCTACTTCACTCTACTCTGCTCCGCTATACCGAACAAAACGATCAACGAAATACAACACAACAAATCGAATTGCACCGAATCGAAACGAAATGGAATGAAATAGCCTGCTAGCACCCGCTTTCGACCTCCTCTCTTCGCCTTGCCTTGGGGGAGCATGGGCGAACTACGTACGTCTTGCACCTTTTCTCCTCTGGAACTAGGAACCAGGACGTCCTTTCTGAGCTTTGAGAGGTTCAGGAGATGGGATTGAAAGCTGATCTTTTTCTTCGCTCTCACCTCTGGCTTCCTCTTTTACCTCCCGATAACCATCCGACCTGCCAACGACGACGAAATGACCTTTCCAACTCGAACATGACACTCCTCACCACCACTACTCTCAAACAACTCCATTGCTATCGCTATCACTACAACTCGACAAAAAAACAGAACTGGGCATCCGCCATAGCCATGCTAGCCGTCTATTTCATCTTTTTCGTCGAGTTCGCCGCTTATCGCGTAGGGACGAGTAGGATGAGGAGGTTGAAGATGAGGAGGGTGGTCGAGGTGGATGGGAGGGCTGGCGTTGGGGGTGAAGGTGGAGGTGAAAGTGGGGAGTTGGAAGGTGAGTCGCAGGTTGTGTTGATGGGGATCGTGCTGGAGAGTCCGAGGGGGGGCGATGACTGAATCGCAGAGACGCTTTATTTTGCAGTAGATGCGTTGGGCCACCGCCTGTCCCGACGCACTTCCAACCTTCCGGTCAGACTCGACGAGGAAGCTCACACTCATTCCACCGCCACCGCCCTGCCTCTAACACTAAGCCTAGGCCTGGGCAATTTGGAAGCGGCTAAATCTACAGAGACCCTGGAGACTGCGGATTTCACGGCGGACGTCACACCGGAATACGATACGACGACGACGGACGGGGTGGCCCAGTTGATCGCGGTGGGGATCTTGGAGTTTGGGGTGATCATGCATTCGGTGTTTATAGGGTTGACGCTGGTCGTCAATGAGGAGTTTACGACGTTGTTCGTGGTCATCGTCTTTCATCGTGAGTTCGGCGGCGCGTCACGATCATACGGTCGAGCTCGGCGTAGGGGGAGATAACCGAGTAAGAGTGGAGATGGCTGATCTGGTTTGTTGCTCTTCTCGCCCGTCAGAAATGTTTGAAGGACTCGGAGTCGGGTCGAGGTTGTCGGCGTTACGACTCCCGCCCAACTTGCGCTGGACACCGTATTTCGCTTCGTTCCTCTATTCGATCACCACGTAGGTCGTTTGTCCAGATCTCCTTTGTCATGTCGCTCCCTCTCGCTTATCCTCATCTTTTCACTTCGTTACTCGGCTCGACATCGCTAGACCTATCGGGATGGCCATCGGATTGGGGCTCAGTTCGAGCTATAATCGCCGGAGTCAGACGACGATGGCTGTCGAGGGCGTTCTACATGCATTGAGCGCGGGCATCTTGCTATATACCGGGCTCGTCGAGGTCAGTCTCGGCACGGCGACATCATCGTCTTCTCTCATCTAAGCGCTGATTCGTGCGAACTTGACGGACCTAGCTGCTCGCACACGAGATCCTGTTCAACCCAAAGATGACCTCGGCGAGCGTGGGCAAGGTGACGTACATCTTTACGTGCATCTTGGTAGGGAGCGGGATCATGGCTCTGATAGGGTACTGGGCATGAAAAGCCAGTGCGGGGACTCGTACTACAACTGTATCTCTCTATACACATCGGCATGGATATTATAAACATTAGGAAGAATGATGCCTCGCCGGAATGGAGTGGCGATCAGGTTCGAATGGTCGAATGCCCAATGGCAATTAGCCCGGAGTTGGACACGTCAGGTTTGGGCTGACGGCAAGATCTCCTATCGCTGGTGATTCTTCACCCAGGGCTCGACGACGTGTGGCTGCCCTAACCCACCTCGAACCGACGGCCTCTCGGCGCGGTTCGGGGCGATTTTTCTGATCGCAGCAATAGGCGCAAGGTCTCCTTTCCCCGGGGGAGTTTACGAGGGAGACGTAGTGACGGCGATGTAGGCTGTCCACTTTGAGCGAGAGCGACCAGGGGATGGCACATGTCGTCTTGACGGCTTTCCAAAAGTGAATCGAGTCCCAAGGCAGTGTTGTAGGCGGGTTGCGATCGATACGGGTATATTGCCGATCCTCCTCGATGGCGTCCCATCCCGTCGTCCATCTCAGCGGCGTATCGGGTCTCAACACCTTTCCCTGCGACTTGTTCTTCAGCGCCCTCCTCGTCCTAGAAGGAGACTCTTTACGATCGTCCTTGCCCCCGTCGCCCGGGTTGTTCCGGTTGAAGATGGCCAGCGCCGCCCCTGTCACTCGCTCTCGGTCCAATCTGATAGATACGGTGGAATTGGCTTGACGGAGGGCCTTTCTGAGCTGCTTCCTTTCTTTCCGAGCTTGGACCGATTGCTCGCGGGTGTGATGTGGGAATTGAGAGGGCGGTCGGTAGAGGTTTTGACTGAGCGGATGGGGAATCAGAGGCGTGTAGAGGGCGGCGCGGTTCTGATTAAGTCGGAGAGCGACAAAGCGGACAAGGCGCAACATATCGGGCGAAGGTCAGGATCAGCGTTCCGTATGATGACAGTAGATGATCTGTTTAGCACTCACCTGCATTGCTGTCATGAGGCTGTCCGAGTACACGGCTTGCACTCCGCCTTCTTGTTCAAGCGATAGGTCGAGGTGAGACGACTGCACCGGTGACGAGCAAGACATGCTTAAGGGGATAGTCATCGAGACTGGTTGAGAGTATTGAAGTTTGATATGAAAGTAGATGTCGATGTCTGGCTGGCAAGTGCGTTGGCTCTCGTCGATTTATATTTCGATTCGATCCGGACTGAACCGACGTCGACAGTCGAGGGGCGGATGATTGGGTTTCAGAATGGCTTTTCGGATGCGAATCGGAGGCAAAAAGTCGACAAAGTAAACAGATCGACGCCGACAAAGTAAACACGCGGAGGCGCGGAAGGGTTAAAGTCAACGAATATCATTGATCGATAGATGTAGTCGACGTTTCTAGAGGCGGCGCTCTTGTTGTATTCTCGCAGATGGTATGACATGCCGCATTGGGCTGAAGTGTTATCCTGTTTATCATGTCTGAAAGAAGTATCATACAATACAAGGAAGACACAGATCGAACATAAACAAGATCGACACCGCTGATCTACCATTCCCCGTTCAGACCAGAATAAATCACCAGACGGAAACCTCTATAGCGATCGGTCCAATTGAATGGTATCCTCGTCTTGAAACCGGAAGATTCGACGGACTCTAATCTTGCAGCTTGTAATATAAACCTCCATGGCCGAAGGGAATCGCTTCCTCTCAAACGGCGGGCCTAGGTCGACGAACCCGAGCCGAGCCAGTTTGGGAATCGGACGGACGCGAGGAAGGTCCCTAGCGAGGTCTTCCACGGTCAAGGAGGAACGTTTTGGGCCCCATAGTCCGTTGTTCTGGGTGTTACGGAGGTCTGGGTGTAAAGGTACTCGGGCGGGGTAAGATCTCCATTCGGTCTCCACAGGGGTTATGTGGCGCAGATGATAAGAGGGTTCTCCGAGATCGTCGTACTCCACTTTGGTTTCGCAGCGCAGAGGAGAAAGACGTCTCATCCCCCAAACCCTGAGTCCAACTTCCCTTCGTCTCTACCAAGCCTTCCGATCAACCTCGTTCATCTCGTTGTTCCGGCGAAAAATGGCATGGACAGCAGGACGGCGCGATTCCCGATTCCTCACCGCAGCAGGAGCGTTCAGGGCGTCTAGACGGAGTTTGGCGGCTTGGCGGGATTGGTAGACCGCTCGACTTTTCTCTGCGTAGGTAGGATGAGGGCGTTGGGAGATGGGGATGTCGAGCGGGGTTGAATTGGGCGTGGTGAGCAAGGTCGATTCGGGAGTGCGGTGGGGTAGTTGCTGGAGATGCAGATGAGTGTGGCTGATAAGTTTAAAGTGGGGAGAGTAGGAGGAGAAGAAGATACTCACCTCTGGAGACTTGGTCGGGATAGGCATCGCGACCAACCCAGCGAGCAACGATGTCGAGCAGCGATCCATCAGCCAGTGAAAGAACGTGTAACCTTTGATCTTTGAGGGGAACGGTGTGAAGAGACCGAGGACCAGAGTGACCGTGGGGAAGATCGACGAGAAAAATGACATCTGGTCCAGTTCGAATTCGAATTTGGGCTTGTCGTCGGGTCGAGCGAGTGGGGCGACGGTGACGAAAATAGCGATGAGGCTGATGCGAAGCTGGCGTCGTTGGTATACGTGCGAGACGTCCGTGTGCATGGTAGTGGATCTTGAAGACTGTGAGGTGGATAGCATTGGAGTCAACATGGATGTCGAATGAGCTGTACTTAGTGTTGTGCTGTGGTCATATCGCCAATCCGGACCAAGTTCGAGCCCAAGCGCAAAGCAGGGTGATTCGGTGGCTTGCGGAAGTATTTACGTAGATACTCGGATGTAATCCGAGAATCACGTGATCATCCGCCGGAGCCGGACGACCCAGTAACAAGCACGATCAACCGGCAAGTCGTTGTCGATAACTGTTTTGATAAGATGGCAAGTAATATAACGATCGTCTGGATCTCTTCAGAGAGTACTTGAGCATAATGATTATGATATAGCTATGTACTATGTCCCGCTATCGCCACGAAAAACGGCCCGAGATCGCGAGTACAAGAACGACTTGAATGAAAGGCCAAAGGTCCCATTACGAGCGAAGGCATCCTGAGGCGAAGCTACTGCGATATGGTCGCATAGTCGTCGAGTGATACAGTCCAACAAAGCAAAGTTCCAAGGCTTACCCGTTTCAGTCGACGAAGACCGAAGCCAGCAGGACGCAACCATACGAGTTGCACGAGATCCCACTCGGTTTCGGCCGCTTCAACTCTTCTGATGACAGATATGACCGACTACCGCTCATACAACATCTACAGCTTAGAACATACTCGCTGCAATAGCTGGTATCGCAGGCGGTCCGATACATATGACCAAGACTCGCCTCTTGAAGCTTCTCGGATCTCTTCTACTCCACTAGACTCGCTTTCACCTACAACCACTAACCTCTGGGACAGACTGACGGCCTCGTTCATGGCTACCTCTCTAAGATCGGGGAAGACTGCAATAGTCGAATAGGGATAGGAATATGGAGCCGGTACGCTTCACCACGACAAGCGGAACAATTCTTCTGCGTGACAGTGAAGCCGAACAACGGAGGACCGGGGGGGGGGGAGGGGGGGGGGGGGGCACGTGTTTCGGGAACGATAGGCTTGGCTGTAGGTCGACCGCTTTTGTTGCTTCTTCACGGTAGACTATGAAGCTCAATTGCTCGGGCTGCTCGTCTCGTTCTCATTCGACTGCACAGATCAGTTCATTTGACTGCACAAATCAGTTGAAGATACGGCAACACCATGAGGACTACAGTATACCGTACGTGGACCGCGTTGCGAGGGGCCCACTTGTGCTTTTCCTCGGCTATCGAGAACTAGGCTGACCATTCCGGGCTTCTCGCCGACTTGTTACAGACGAACAGCAGCACATCTAGGACTACGTGTGTCACATCCCCGTACTACCGACAGCGAGAGCATTCATACTGCATTACACAACGCACAAGATGGGGTTTGCTACGGCCTAGACAGTCAGACGTTACATTACGATCGAGCACTGCTCTATAGGACAGGAACAAGCTGGTTATTCGACGATCAGCCGGGGCATGTTAGCGGATCGGCGATCAGGAGAAGCGGCTTCGAAGGGCGATCTGGCGATACCAGGGGGATCCTTGTCACAGACCAGGGCTGGGACGTCAAGGATACAAGACTGCGAACCTGTATTACAGCACAAAATTCCGACTAAATGGACACGAGAATGCTCGATCACGTATCTCGAGACTTCCTGATACCCGGATCGATATCGGTACTGGAGGGGCCCTCATGAGTAGAGGCCGGGACCGAATCTTGCCGTCAGTTCGAAAGTAGGAGGCTTCGCTGTCGAATTCCGTTGTCACGTACCCTCGGGGGTTTCTTCAGCCTAGGAACGTCTTGAAGCTCGCATGGGACGATCGATCAACGAGACGCACGAACCATGCAGGTGTACCGCCAAGACATTTAGGACGTCGACCAGATGGGGTAATTATAGAACCGAGACCCCCTATCAGTCATTCATGTCAGGGCCATCGACGAAGCCAACGAGCAGAACCCCTTCCGAACCTGATACTGTAGCGTGACGCTCTGGCTCTGCTGCCTCCTCGGAGCCGCGGGATCGGTCGGAAAGAAACCTAAACTTTAACAGAACGAGCGCGCGGAACCGGATGTCCCGGATATCCATCTGGTCCGACTGGCGACCCGAACCGGGTCGGGCGATGCCTGTCGATGTAGACCGATGAAGGTCAGGTCGAACAGAAGCAGAGAACAAAGCCATCTCTCTCGCTCTGAGGGGAAATTAGCCCCTCCCGTCTCGACCAGCTGGGTTTAACTGTGGCAACTCTTCGTATGGACTGGGGGATGTCCAGGGCGAGAAAGCGGACGCAGATGAACAAAACGTGTTTGCCTCCCGGTCTGACACCGAGGTGACTGCCCGAAGAACATTCCTTTGCCTGTTTCAGGGCACCCGCTGATGGTCGTGGCGTTTTGCATCGCACTCAATGGAACGGATCGCGTCGATTCCTTATAAGTCGTCGAAGGGAATATCGACTGATGGCGAGCGCGTTGCTTGACTGTGACCATTCCATTGGATCTGCACTGCCGCTTGCGCCGACTTTGTTTTGCCATCCGACATGAGGCCTTTTTCGCTCTGGACGGCTCTGGTCGTCTCGACTGGTCTAGCGGCCGCCTCGAATGACGCTGTTTATCGATCGTCCAACGTCGTCGTCGAGCCCAATGTCCCAGCCGTCACGCTCAAGCCTCACCTTCCTCCCGGTCACGCCGTACACCACATCTCGACGCTGCATCCGCAAGACAAGGGGTTCCACTATTATACGCCTGACGGCCGCGTCATAGGTGGGCACTTTTCTTGTGGTTAGGGATCTGTAGCGCTGTCACTGATCCGATACCTTGACAGACCCGGACATTCCCACCCTGTTCGCCGAGGCCAACGTGACCTATCAACGTCCCGCTGTCGTGCTTCCCCACTCGTCTCTGGTCCGGTTCACTCGATGTCTCAACGATGGTATCCGCGTCGGGTTCCGTTCGGAGGCGGCCTATCAATACGTGGCCACGCATTGGACTCGATACCTGGAAAGCCCACACCTCAGTCCTCGAGCCAATCTGCATGGCTATGCCGATGCGCTCAAGGATGCCAACGACGAGACTGGCTTCTTGCTCATCACAGACTCGTTGCACTGCGACGGTAGCGAGACGGGCATGCATTCGTACTGGCACGTGTCGGCGTTGCTGTTTGATGAGAGGGCACGAACGGTAGACGCTCGGGCCATCGAAGTCGGGGTCAAGGAAGCTTACGACGATGTGAGTAGTCGATCGAGTCTTGCGTGGGACGAGGGCGACAATGCTTACCGCTAGCGTCATGCGATGATTCTCTCGAGGTGCACATCACGTGGGGTTCCACCAATCCCTCCGGTCACGTCAATGGTGGAGCAGGCGCGCATTTCGCAGCGCATCCGGCTGGGTCTGACAAGACGTCTCACACGGGCTTTAAACCTCATCGCATGACCAAGAGGCAATTGGCCTCGGGTCAGGTGGTGGTGTCGCCTTGGTATGCCAATAGTGAGTCGATTCATCTCGATCCAAGTCTGGAAGCAGGTGCCTGACGTCTTGCGGTGCAGTCCCGATATCCAACTCTACTCGCGTACAGTATTCGACGGTCCGGTGAGTGTTTCACGTTGCTATCATCCCCGTCGCGTTTGCTGATATCTGACCGATCCTACTTCAGCACGACTCCGCAATACTACATCACTCCTGCGTCAGGTGCAGCATGGTCGCCGATGGATCGTTTCACTGTCATCACGTTGCAAGCGGCGAGTTTCAGCCGGCTTTATCGATCACACTAGCCTTTTCGAGATGCTAACGAATCGCTCCATATTGCAGAGTGCCACCTCAAACTCTACCGGCACGCTCGTCTATGGCTACGGCGGGCAAAGCGCCAACCAAATTCAGCCGCAAACCTACTACGCGTTGACTTCACCTAGCAGGGAACTCGCTCCTGGTTATGCCGTACCGGATATGACCAGCGGTGCGTGTCCCGTCGTGCTGGTCTCGTACGTCTTTCTCGAGCCGAGTGGGGGGGTCTCCACCGCGGTAAAGCCTAGCTCTCGAGCCAACTTTGACGTCAAGGCGTATGCTGCAAGCGCCGGACTCGGTGACCCGATCGGTTCCCATGTCATGATCGTCTCGAACGGCGAGCCTGCAAGCGCGTGTTTCAGGTGAGAAATGGTTGGCCAAGTTCAAGCGCGTGATTAGGGCGATCCTCGAGACTAATCGCACGCCTGTCAACTTTGCAGCACTGTGACTGTCAGCGCCTCGTCTTCCTCTGCTTCATCGATAGCAACTACTACTTCGGTCATCTCCACTACCACGACCAAGTCGTCTGCCATTTCTACGACGTCGGCAACATCCACCGCAAAGACCTCGTCAACCATGTCATCAGTCATCTCTACGACATCAAACATGTCCAGTACGACGGCCTCCTCAGTCTCGACCGCAAAGACCTCGTCAACAGCGGCCACAAACACCTCGACTACAGTCAAGCCTGGAACAAGCGGCACAACAACGACCTCGGCATCTACAACCGGACGCTCCAGTACGCTGATTTCTTCCACCGGGAGCAGCCGCGTCAACACGAGCACGTCGGGCCTAATCTCGACCAGCACTTTGACCGGCTCAAAATCTACCGGATCGCAGAGTCTTTCCACGGGGACGGCTAATAGAACTTCTACGATCACGGTCGGCCCCCCGACGACCTCCATCAAGACCACAGCACCCGCTTCTTCGAGCCCCTTTTCGTCGATCCGGACGTCCAACCTGACAGGAATCGCCTCGACCACATCTCGCACTTCGAGTGGGAGCATCTCCATGGCCACTGGAAGCCGGTCGTCTGGAAGCATATCAACTGGGAGTACATCGACTGGCGGCAGTTTGACAGGAAGCACATCCACTGGCAGCAAGCCGACAGGAAGCACGTCCACTGGAAGCTCGTCGACTAGCAATCGTACTTTGACAGGATCCACCTCGACTATCAGCCGTAGTACGACAGGCAGCGGTGTATCGAGTCTCACTTCGGCCGGCAACATATCCACAGTCGTTAGAACCTCGACGACCGCCAGTGTTTCGACGGGTTCCATGTCCACCGCGACCAAGACTGGCATCGCCACGGGAACGCAGTCCAACAACTCGACTTCGACGGCCACTACCGTGATTTCCACTCGCACTTCCACCGGCACGCTCTCGCGCAACGTTACTTCGACCACCACAATGATTACAAGCACGACGAGCTCGAGTGTAATCACGACCTTGACCAACAACACGACCGTCTCCAGATATCAAACCGCCACTACGAGTTTGGCCGTCAAACCTACCTCGGGAGACTGTGCTAAACCCCCTGACACGCTATCGGGTCTGCTCACTGCGCCTTGTGGCGACGGTTTCGATGTCGCTCTTGACGATCGCTTGGGTTACCTAGACTGGGCCAACGATTTTGCCGGCTCACAGGCTGCGTGGGCACCAGCGGTCGCCTCGGGTCAACGTCGACGGTGGTTCTGGTTTGGGCGCCGCAGTACCGAGAGGATCGCTGCAAAGCTCGAAAAGCGACACATCTTTAGCTGGCTCACCGATGCAAGTCTTGCCTCTGCGTTGAATACCAGTTTGAAAGGTGTACTCACAGTCGCCACTACATTTGCTCACAGTGGGTCGAAAGTGCGGTAGACTACCTCGCCCGAAAGGCGCGAGAGCTGGTGAACGAGATTTCCAATCTTGTGCGTCAAGCTGAGAAGGGACTTGACGATCGTGAGTATCGATGTGGTAGTCGGTAGCGTTCGACCGGCCAGCTCAATGACGTTGACTCGACGCTCGCAGTGGCCGATATTGTGGCAAGTATTTGCGCGGGGGGGCGTGTATCGCGTTGACGTCTCGCTGATCGATCCCGCCTCTTGCAACCAAACAGCTCACGGGTCTCAACACTCCGGTCAATACTGGCTTCGAAGAGTAGGTCGAGAACGTGAAGCCGCGCTGCGTGATTCATTGTTCACTCTTGCCGCAATGTCCGCAGGTCTTTCCCGATCGGCCTAAACTTTGGCAACAAGACGGATTCTCCCTGGGACGGCAAGTCTGCTTTCGCGCTGTACAAGAAGGAAAAGGAAAAGGGCACGTCGGCAGGGGACTTTAAACTCGAAGCGGGGCTTTACTGTGTCGAGTCGGTATCACGACAGGAAGGAGAACTGGTCGCGCGTGTTTGCTGATAGTTGGCGCTGGATTTGCAGCTGCGGTGTAAACGGAGCGGTCTCTATGGGAGGCACTATCGGGTTCCGCATCTGTACGTCGATGCCCGGCTTGCCTACTGCGATTGTAACCTGACGGAGATCGATCTCTCCAGTGCCTCCCGACTTATCTACGGCCATGGTCTCTCTCGGTGGCAATCTGAAAGCAGGCGTCGGGCTCGGTCTGCATGGCTCGGCTTCGTTTTCCAAGGAGGTGGAGAAAAAGATTGCAAGTGTCGCTGCGCGCTCGGCCCTTGTCCTCTCGCTGATCATCGAGCCACCGCCCATCAGGTCGACATCGTGGTACCCGAAGCCGGAGTCAAGGTCGCCGACCTGTTCTTGATCGGGCTCGTCGTTCACGTGAGTCGCGGATGGACAAGCGCTCGCCATGATCGTCTGACGTTGTTCTTGTCGCCAGGTCGATGCAATCGCCTCGATGGAGCTCAAGGCGGAAGGAAAGATACACGTCGGCGAGTAGCAAAGATCCTAATGAGCCCGATCGAAGCCGCCTGCTCACCTTTTCTCTCGCAAAACGCACTCCAGGAATGGACATGGTGATTGACAATTTTAAAGCAACTCTCGATCTCATCGGAACCAAAACCGGCGTTTCAAAGTTCAAGCCTAGGTTCGAGAAACGATTCGAATCGGAAGGTTCAGTCGAGGCTTCAATCAACGTCGGACTGCCCGTCGAGCTGGCTATTGTGCTCGAGATTCCACGCAAGTCGCCGAGTATCCCGGGCCAGATTACAAGACCCACGCTGACGTCCCACCCGCATCATCGCAGCCGTCGACTTTGAACAAGGGATCGGTCTCCGAAACACGGCCGAGCTCAAAGGATCGGGCGTTCTCTTTGATGACGAATGCGCCAAGGGCATCAAGTATGGTCTGGGTTTCGAGGACAAGTTTGAGCTCGACTTTTTCGGCAAGGTCAAGAAGCTGGCGGGGTACACTTCTCCCGAGATCTTGGGAGGGTGCTTCTTGTGCGTCACAAGCGTGTTCGTCGGAAGCGTGAGCAGACCCTAATCGACCCCTTCAATCTTTCATTTCTAGACCATTTGGAAGTGACCCCGGACCGGATCCTTCGACGACGACGTTGACGACGACGACCAGCGATCCCGTAACCCGGACCGTCACGACAAGGACCAGGACGACTGCCAGTACGACAGCCATCGCCACGGCGACCTCGAAACCATCAACAGGCTTTCCCACGGCGGCCGACAGTCCCTTCATCTCGGCCCGCTGGTATGAATGGGCGTATTTCCCAGAGACACAGTGGGAAGGGTCGCAGGCAAGCGCATTACCGTAGGGTCCAAGTGCTACTACATGCTGATTTCACTACCCGCTTCGCCACTGGCTGGACCACGTAGCAGACACGACGAAACGACCTGACAGATCGCGAATCCTGTATCGCCGCGTGCTTTGCCGAGAACATCAGTGAGTCGTACTGCTTTGGCATCTTTGGCAAGACGTTCCTGATTCCCGATGAATCGCCACAGACGGATGCATAGGAATCTCGTGGTTTGAACAATTTGGCATCTGCATGCACACCCAAGATACAGCGAATCCTGGTGGAAGGGCGTACTTGGCGGGACCATTGTCTCTCGGCGAGGCCTTCTTCTTCGGTCCTTGCGAAAAGGCCGTAGCGTACGGAGCTTCAGGTGAGTGGGGCGTGTAACGACGTGACCCCTTCGAACGTGTTCCCTTCCCTCACATCGGGTCGCCCTGAACAGACTATTACACGCGTGTGCCCGACCTGTGTCAGCGGTACTATCCCGAGCTGCCCGTCAGCAGCGAGAGTTCAGCGAAAGTCGGCGATGACGCAAGTTCATGGTGCTTGCTAAGAGGAGCCAGCAGTGTGGATTATTCGTCGGTGCGTCCGCGGATCGGCCATTGCCCGCGTATCAATGGCTAACTTCTGGCCGACCGTCCATATAGTGGGTCAAGGGGTCCAGCCTCAATATTCTTATCGGAGACAAGTATACCAATGAGATCGGCCCGAGCACCGAAGCCTGCTGGTATGCTTGCGACGAGTACTGGGGTCACAACGGTGCTCCAGGTTGTGGCGCGATCAAATGGGTACCAGATGGCAACTCCGGGTTGGACTGCTATTTCGTTCCCCGCGATACGCACTATGACAACGTCTTCCAACCGATCTCCCAAGCGGGGACCGATCCTAGGACGACCATCTTGACCCGTCGAAAATGCGAGGACATCGACCGACCTGGTGAGTGCTGACTGACGTTGCAGAGGAGACGGGGGGCGGCGCTGATTTCGGACCTGTCGATCGCCTGTACCCAGATTTGGACCGCGACAAGATCAGGCTCGAGCGTTACTACCCGAACAAGCGAGAGGCAGTCCAGCCCTTGTCACTAGCATCGCGCCGTTCAGGAGGAACCCTGGAAGCGGCCTACTATAGAGAGGCAGCCATCTTTCCCGCGGACGGCCGCAACATGACGGGCCCCAGGACCTATGCCTACTGCACTTCGCTGGAGTGCTGTACGGCGGGTTGTCTCCAGACTCCCGGATGTCGAGCGGTCTCGTTCAGGGTTCGAAACGTGTTCATCCTCGATTATCCGGGGGAATGCAAGTTTTATTCGCAGGGGGATGATCAGCTTACGATCGGCACGCCATCGTATGATTTCCGTCCGATGACGAAGCAGGTCGTCATCATGGAACCCTGTGCCAAGGTCACTGCCAAACAGAGCAACGACTGTGAGTAGCACGGCCGGCGTCTCGACGTTGTGATCCGGACTGACGTGATGTGCTCGCCCAGACGCCGTGAATGGGTACAAGTGCCGCTCGTTCTACCCTCTCACGACGCGAACTTCGCCGTTGCCGTTCAGAAAACGAGCGACCATCGATCCCGGCGCCGGTCTGGCACCTTTGCCCGAGGTGGACTCGATCTTGGAGCTTCCCGAGGTGGTAGCAGGTCTGGAGACGGCCAAACAGTTGGCGGCTGCGCAAAACGATACCGGGTTCGTCGCCGGCGGAATCTCGCTGGTCGACATTACGGGCAAGTACGCGCTCGCTCCCGCTGCCGACGGTACCCTCTATCTCAGCTATGCGGGTCAGACGGCGTCGTACAAGTTTGCCGCCATGGCCAATCGAGCGGTGTTTGGCGACGACCAGGCGAGCGTCCTGTGGTTTTACCCGGACACGATGTGAGTCCAGCTGGCGTTTGTTGCTGTTCCCGGGGCGACGTAGCTGAGCCCTTTGGCGAGAATTGCAGGTCGACGTTCGGTATCAGTCGACTCAGGTTCGGACCCTATACCAAGACCCCGAAGCGGTCGCAGCAAGTCACTCTGATGCCGATCAGTGAGTGCCGCCCGCTCCCCTCTCGAGGATTCGCTATTGCATGCTGATTCACACTCTGATCGATCGCTCCGACCGGCACTCAGACGCCGACGGACAAGCCAACACGCCCGGAACGTACGTCGCGGTGGATGGCATGGGCAAGTCCTACTTCCTCGTCGCCTGTTCGATCGACAACAGGCAGACCAAGATGTTCCTCGTCGACAACGTGAATATCGGATTGAACGCCTTGCAGACCGAAGAGGCGCAGTATACGGTGACGGGAGGACCCACATCGGGGTGTGCTGCCGTCCTGTTGCAATCGGTCGGTTTCGCGGGCGTCTGAGTTGGGGTCTAGGGGTCGTTTCGGGTTTCCTAGATATCGGGTTTTACGGTCCAGAAAGGACTTGTTGTAGGAATGTTTGAAGGTTCTGCCGGGGTGCAGTTAGATGAATTAGATGTTGAATTTTGGGCAAGAGGGAGACAAATTTATTAGCATGTTAGTTGATTGATTAGGGAAATATACGACCATTGTCCGCATGCGATTAGTAATCAGCACATCTTGATTAGTGTCCGAGTCCAGATCGGCCTCGGCAATAAGCAGTAACGAAAACCAAATCGCTGGTAACACAGTCCGGCAAGATATCATCCAACAATCCTGAATATGTGACGAGATAGTTCCAATCAACTCGGTCTACCTTTCCCCCAGTGTTTGGTCGGACGACGCATCTGGAACGAGTTCAGATCCACGGGCTGAAGACGCTCTCGACCGAAAAACTCGTGGCTAGAAAACAGGTGCTCGCAGCAAACTCATATGGCATTACGATCGACATTGTGTCCGAGAGCAAACCTCGATAGCACTCGAGGACCTGCCGATCTCCTGGTACGTTTCCGCAGGAGCCTCCGGGATCCGACCTCGTCACACAGCGAACCCCTAACCCTTATGCGGGGCTTGTTGAGAGCTGATGTATTCGTTGTCTGATGAAAGCCCGGCCAATCCTCTCGGTCCCGACTGGACGCTCTCCCCACACTGGACGAACGGGAATCGTTTCATATCCTATTCGATCGAACCCGCTTGTCTCGACCAGACGCTCGTCCCCGCTGCCGAACGGGCGACCAACAGGACCTACCTCTTTGCCAAGACTCGGGACTATATCGAATCACACCACAACGACACGGCGTGGACGTTGGACGATCTGGGCGGCGTGATCGATCGTCTCGGACTCGACATGATCGCGGGGATTCGGGACGAGGACGACGAGACGTCTCGAGATCACTTGAAATCGCTGGGGATCGACAACAAGGGCAGGCTGGACGCGCACAGCTTTAGAGGGTACGTCTCGTCGTCCCGCTTGTTCGTCGGTGTGGGGAGGCCACGCATCAGTCCGAGCCCGTTGGAAGCGCTCTGTCTGGGCGTGCCATTTATCAACCCGATCGGGATTTACGATCACGAGGATGTGTGGAACGTGTCCGCCTGGAACTCGCAGCATTGGGCATTTCAGCATATGGAGCCGTGGGTGTCTTTTCTATGCGGAATGGGTTCTTATCGGACGAACCGCTGACTCTTGAATGTGCACTTGCGTTACCCCGCGGGCAGACCTTACGTCTACAACGTCTTTGCTCGCGACATAGCAGGTCTCGAATCGGCCATCGTAGCGGCGCTCGCCCATCCCATTGATTCGTGAGTCGGCGGCGTCAAGCCCTTACGGCAAGAGGTATCGAGGCTCATGAGAATACGTGACTGCGCCCGGCACAGCTTTATACCCGAATACATGACTTTTGATTTCGTTTGCACTGCTATCGACCAAGTTGTACGAGATAATTGGCAAGGAAAGTATCGAGCTCTCGAGGAGAGGACGTGAGCGGGTCCTTCCGAAGTTGTATGTATCATTGACATGATAAGGATGACAATGTCGCACTCGCCTCTGGTAAAGTAGTGGGATGTCGACACTCGGTGTCCTCGAATAACAAGTTGTTCGACTCGTAGGTGACATGATCATAACATTTGGGTTGCAGTGATGTACAAATAAATCTTCGCAATCAATACCGAGCAGGACGTCTCTCGACTCGCTAACCGTAAGAAAAGAAACAGGACCTGTCCATAGTTTACGATCAAGGGTTGTGAATGCATTGGCTAACGAGTACGTTCGATTTCGAGGAACTCGCGAAGATCCTTGTGCTGATCGATAGAGAAAGAGCTTGTCGTTGTGAAGCCCAGTCGAATGCATGCCCTGCTCAGTCTCTCGATCTTTTCGTTTGGAAGACCGATGGGCCGCTCCCCCTGCTCGAGCAATGCGCGTTCGTTTGCTTCATATTGCTTTAGGAACTTTGCCCTCGCTTCGGATGATTCATTCTCATTTTCGATGTCATCAGGCCTGTGAAGGAAGAGATAAACGAGTGCTTCGACGAACTGGTCGGGTGGATTCTCTTCGGTGAAACGACTGCCAGAAGACGCGTCGGTGCCGATTCCTCGGGAGCTGCCAAATCGTTCCCCGGTCTGCACGTCGTACACATCTGAGTTGTCATAGAAGGGAACAGTGATGCTCATGACTGGCAAATCGTTTCTGACTGTTCTCGCGTCGGCCATTGTTTGAGGAATGATGATGGATCGGCTCAGGCGGGAAGGATGTCGGTGTGCAGACCAGCGGTGAGGAAATCGCAAGACCCGATCGATTTCCCTCGCAACTCGGTTCAGTCAGGGTGGAGGGTGTAGACTATATACCCAGCCGGTATGAGGGCAGGCGTACGAGGATCAGAACCTCGTGATCAGCTCCTGTCTTCCTTTGTGGGAACTCCCTCTACAGCGAGAATGACGTGACATCGTCGCATGACCTGTCCACTCGTGAGAACGAGATATCTCGCCCGTTTCGACCGCCCGATACCAGCGTAGCACGCCATGGATCATGATCATGACAGAGATCACGACGAATCATCTGAGTGATCACGTGCACGACTTCCTTTCGATCACTTGAAACCCTGTCAAGTCGAATCACGATGATGGCGTTAGTTTGGTGATTCATCGCGGCATCGTTGGCCACCGAGAAGATAGATGCGATCTTCGTTTTTACAAGGTCAATCACCGAACGTAAGTTCGAAAGCATAACGGGCTTGGTCTCCTCGGCAGCAAGCTCGCACAAACGCCTATGTATTGTGAGGCGTTGGAAGGTGAAACGCCAACCAGGCGGATTGAGAAGCGGGAGCAATCAAGAACCGTTGCGGGTCCTGCATTCCGAACGATTGATTGACCAGATATGAGGTCCGTATCTATACTTCATGCGAGGCTGACTTGGTGTCCAGCAGAATGTAAGAGATGGAATCGATCACTGTAAGCTCATCCAATCGGAATTAGGAAGCGCAACCAACATGCAGCTGCAGAGGAGGTAGACAAGTGTCTCATCTACGCAGCAAATGTGGGAACATCGTGACACCAAGTTTGAACACTCACTGCATTTACAGTGCAGACGTTATGCACCCAATACGGGCATCAGACAAAGAATGGTTTCGAGAGAGCTAGCAGCCAAGAAACAGAGCCACTCACGGCCTCGACGTCTCCCCCGCAAACACTCGTGAAATTGTCGAGGGCGGTCCTGTGACATGTCGACTTACCAGGCCAGATCGAAGACCTCCCAGTCCGAGTCCCAGGACCAATGCCAGATGCAGTGCACGGAGACAACATTTTGTAGGCATCTTGCCAGGTCGCATCCCTGTCCGTTCCCAAAGCCCACTTCTTGTAAACGAGATCGTAGGTGATGATTCTGGTAGCAGATCAGGTCTCGGTGCACGAGCCGAGATGATATCATCGAATTCCAATATGCTCTACGAGGGGATTCGGTCCTGGAAATACCAGCCTCAGCAACCTTGATGGCGTGTATCGGGTCCGACGAATAGCAAATAAGAGACACTTTATAAATCATGAATTCGACAATCAACAATGACAATGTAAGACTAGTAAACATAAGACGGAAAGGAAAGAAACCGCGATAAGACGATTTCCCCGAGTAGAGCTGACGACGAGGTCGACGAGACGAGATGAGATAAAGAACAAAACGTCCTCTTCGACCCGAGACCTTCTCGAGCGAAAGGCGCACTCATCGTCGACTCATCTCCCCAGGTCAGACTTCAGAGAGAACCCGCTTAGAGCAAGGTAGCCCCGACAGCCAACCCTCCGAGGACGGCGACGACGCTTCCCCAGACTCCCATCCCAACCCCTCCGACCTTGATCGCGCTGTTGGCCGGGGCGCTCGTCTGAGTCCCACTAGCACCCGCAGTCCCCATGCTCGTAGGCGATCCTCCGATAACCCCGCCAGTCGGCTGCATCGACGTGGTCTGCGTAGCCTGTTCCGCATAACTGCTAGCCGCAGACTCTGCCGCCTGGGGGTCAGAAGCGGCGTTGACGAGGACGCCGTCGATGACGTGGACGACCCCGTTCTGGATGACCACGTCCGACATGATGATCCTGGCCGAAGCGTTTCCGGACATGACGTACGCGCCCGTGTCGTTGGTCGTGAACATGAACTCTTGTCCTCCGGCAGAGATGAAGGGCCCGGACTCGGAGAGTTGGGTGGAGAAGACAGTGGTCCCGTTGATGACCTGCGGCGTTACGAAGAGCAAAAAGCAATATCCATCATCAGCTCGGTCCGACCAGCAGTCCTGATAGACTTCTGGAGCACTCACGTGGTTGGCCAAGACGCCCTGAACCTGAGTCGCGTTCAGCGTGGCGAGCGTATCAGCAAGCCCAGCGATCGCGTCGTTCGAAGGGGCAAAGACGGTCAACCCCATAGCCTGCTCGAGGGGATCCAAGAGTCCGGCCTGTTCAACCAGACCAGCGAGACTGGGCAACAACTCCCCCGCGGCCTCACCCAAGGTGGGGGGGAGGGAGAGGACCTCGTCGATAATGTAAATCTGGAAGTTGGCAGCGGTAGCGTTTGCCGTGGTATTAACGTTCCCTCCGGCTTGCTGGACGATCACCCCAGGTCCGGTAGAGTTGCCTTCGGCAGTTTCGTTACCTCGGTAGAGGACGACAGGAACAGTGAGGTTTCCGTTGAGCATCATGTTGTTGTACAAGCTCCTGACGATCGTATGCGCCGGTCCTTCGGCCACATCAGCGGGGGGGACCGAGGCGTTGAGGATATGGAGGGAGAGGATATTGGCTAGGAGGGTGGTGTTGGAGGAGACGTCGGCGGGTACGGCGGCAAAGGCCTCGTTGTTGGGGGCTATTGTATGCGTAGCGGAAAACATGGTCAGTTCCCACTTTCTTCACATAATCTCAAACCATCGCCTTTAAAGTCTGACGAATCGAGAGACAGAGACACTCACCGAGCAAAGTCTTGTTACTCCCCTGCAACTGCCCCAAAAGGGCCGCTCCTTCAGTAGTATTAGCGACAGACTGGGCGGCATCGGCGAGGGAAGTCAAGTTGGCCGCGGTCAGGGCTTGGATGACTTGCTACAGTAGGAGAGTCGCCCACGAGGCGGTAGGAGGGATAGGTTGCGGTGTTTTTGTTCATCATTATTATTGTTGTTGTTGTTTGGGGTTGGGCGGGTGGTGTGGGTGTGGTGTTCGATATCGTCGATATACGATATGACGACCGAATACCGAGATTGATAAGATAATATGGAGGTTGTAGCGATGACGATCGGGATCGATAGTTGTACCACGAAAGATCAAGATCGGACCCAGATCGAGATCGAAAGGACGTCGCAAAATCCGATCCATGCGTGAAAGGAAGCATCAAAGAGCGAGGAGCCAGGTCACAGAATCAAGAATCGAGATCGTCATCAGTAAAGCCGACCTTGCACAAACAACTCTTCCGGAGAGGACACAACAGAAAGACCTCGTCGACTCACCCCGATATAAGCCGGATCGAAAGCCTGAGCGTTGACAGAAGTCAGGGCGGCGACGCAGGCGGTAGCGAGGGTAGCGAAACGCATCTTTGTTTGTCGAGTTTGCTTTTTTTGTGGTTCGAGGGTGGTTCGACTTGAACTTCCGAGTATTCGCTGGGAGCTAGGAGCTAGATGATGGTATCGCACAAACAGGTCAACGATGACTAGAAACGAGAAAGGTAGGTGATGGGGAGTTGCGTACGGTTTGTTGGTTTGAGGATGTCGAGCGTTATATAGTCGATCGGGAAAATGATCTGGCCTCGTGACCATCCTCGTCGATCGGGGTTGGGAGGAAGACGAAGCGCGCACTAGGCTGCGGGGTGGGTCCAAGCCACTTTCGCAGGTGGATCGTTCACCCGAAAGGAAGGGCAGGGCAGGAGGGGCAACCATGCGACCATGCGACTGCGACAACACATCGCACATCGCACGGTCCCTGTCGCTGTCGTCGTCGCCGTCGTCGCTGTCGTTGTACGTTGTCGTCGTTGGCCTTGGCAACCAAACGACGACGAACGAACCAGACGAACCCCGGGGTAAACCTCCGAAGTTCCGCCATCAACCCCCCTTTCCCCACACGCTGCCCTGCTTTCATCAGCGGAAGCAAACTCGACACGTCCTTTCGATCTCGGCGATCGCCAAGCCGATCGTGCCTACTTTTTTTAGTTCCGGCCCGGGGTAAGGGGTTCCTCCGCAGTCGTCCTGTCAGGCCCATGGGGGATGTGCATGTTCTTGTAGACGATCCTCCACTTCGCTCGCACACAGTACACAGCCACCTCCGTAGTACGTCACGGTACGTCATCGTTGATCCGACTCCTTTCGATCCGATGTTGTTGCTTCCGCTAATGTCGTGCGCGTTTCACCTCGAAAGACAATCCGTTTGAGCGATCGAAAAATTAAAAGCTGAACTGCCCCGCTGCATACAGTGGGTTTCGATTAACACCTTTATAACGCCGTCTCCAATCACCAATAACATCGCTCTGTCTACTATACATAGGCCATAGGCTGATCACGAAATCTCAGGTATCGACCTCGAAACTCCTTTCAAGGGACTGTCACGAGAGTCTTAGGTCATCGATCATAGTCCATAGGACAACCCCAGCCTATAGCTATATATAAGGAGCAAAAAGACAAGACAAACTTCCGCCCCTTAAAGTATTCATTCATCGGATCTCCTAAGCTAAGAGATCTCGAAAACCCCATTTGATCGATCCTCCTGTATCTCGCCCTCATCTCATCGATTGGCAACCTGACCTAATCAAGACAACATAATGTCCGAATCCAGAGCTGCAGTGGCACCGTCATCGTCGATCCGAACTCTGGAAAAAAAATCGTCTTACACTACACTACAACACTCCGCTATTAATATTGTACCGACCCGCCTCTAAGTCAACTTGCAAATGGACACCGAATCCGACGGTGACCCATAAGAAAGTGCGACGGATGGTCCAGTCGAGTATGACAAAGTTGCAAAGGCGTGACATAAGTCAGCAGGCGCTGCCGACAAGACGACTTTGCATCGAGCGCCTTTATCAAGCCTACTTGGAACCGAAAGCCGGACCTGGTCATCACCTCCTTAGTAATTTCTTCGATGGATACGACGAGTACGAGCAGATCTTCGAATAACAAAGAGGAAGCTAGAATCGATCTGGACGATGCAGGACAACAGCGCCTCCTCTCTGCCTATTCTCCTGTCGACAAAGTGGAGTTCCAGCCTGATGGATTCGCTACGGAACGGACCTTTGTCATGCATGAACTCTTGCTGAGAGGTCGAGGCCCGACCCACTTTGAAGGCTATGTATACGAATACCGTACCCCCGCTGGGCGGATTTCGATCCGTGGTTGGTGTAGCCCGACTGATCATCCAAATAATAACATGTGATCCGTACTCCGCACAAGTCTCAGATTGCCTGGCACTGCGGTGCACAGAAAGCTCATGCCATACGATCGGCTCGGCATATTGTCACGCCGTCGACTTCTGCGCCAGTATAAGCTTGACTTCACGTAGAGTATACTGTACTCGGAAGTGAATCTTCAGCTCGGCAGCTGATCAGCCTGAACCATTACCTTCCCCAGTAATAATCTCTCGGGGCAGACGGTCGAAGTGGACGGTCTCGATCAGTATTGTTGGCATGTCCACCAGCGCATATGTCAATTTTGAATAGGAAAAACATGACAGGATTCTTGACCAGCGATATGTCGTACGGTTCTGGGGCATGTCGTAAAAAGTCTTTCTCACGCCTCATACGACGATCATCACGCCACCGACTGTCTCGTTGTGATGGGGTAAGAATGAAAGGATGTCATGGGATGATCACGGGGCGCGGGGCGCGACTCTGCTTCTCAGCTATGCAGCTAGATACTGTACAGTCTTTAAGAGCAGGGGATTTGCGCACTACCAAGACTCATGTACTGGTTTATGATCATCCCAAATTGACGCCCTCAACACCTGCCTTACCGCCAACCTCTCGTTCAAAGCCTTCGCCAGGTCAAACGTTTCAATACCATGCCCGAAGACGTATACACCCAGGAGACCGCCCCATCGATTCCGAGTTCCAAAAGCGATAGAGATTCGACCAACTCCACCAGATCATCAGACAAGTCTACAAATCGCCCAGAGGCTCCGGAGGAACCGACTCTCGGCGAGCGTGTTTTCAATGTCTACATGCTACAAGAGATCACCGAGTCGGAGGACTTACCAGTACGCATCATGGGCAGCTCAGCAGCTCAGATAACATAGAGTCGTGGCTCAAATTCTCCAGGTCGTACGGCATGTACGAAGGACAACTGAGCACAGAAGAAGGGGGACCAATCAGCCGCTATCGACAATGGGTTGGGGCCTTCCGTGTGTGGAATGCGTTTCGGTTCGTTATAGATTCCGACACGAGTAGACGGACTGAGTATTGGTGCAAGGACGACCACAAAGATCTACGAGACTGTTTCAGGGCTGATACTGGATCCCCTTTGTACTTATCCGGATGATCGTTACAAACATGCAATGGATCTATGTTCTACTCATGGGGTTCGAATTTCGCTGCATATGTACTTGATAACCAGACTTCAGACCGTCATACGAACGAGCTCATCGGCATATCGACGATACTAACACTATCTTGACATGTGCAGCTCTCGAGAAACAAACTTGGTGGACGCCAAAAACGTTTGTCCGGAACGATCCTGATCTATTGTACGTCTCGAGCCGGCACCTGATCTGACGCCAGTAGTCTAGCAATCCTTGTTGGTTGATAACTCCACTTGTAAGTCGTTCTCACGGCTGGCTATACTGTACTGAAGGTCATGCGACGACCATGACGCCATTTGTGGTCACGTTGTGCAAGGGACATTGGACAAAGGAAGTCACGAACTGATCACGGGGCAATACTACGATTCTCAGCTGGGCGGCGAGATCTAGAAGGGGTCGAATGTGCCCGTCGACCGACGCGAGCACCCAAAAGCCCTCCATATCTTACATTCATCAACTCGCCCCCAACGTCTTCACCCAGTGGACACTTCGATACCATGCCGGAAGACGCATCTTACCAAGAGACCGTTCCGTCACAGACCGACCTAGGCTCAGATTCCATGGGGAGCAGCTGGTTCTCTGATTGGGAAGCACAGATTCCGGACGAGCCGACTTTCGCCGAGCTGGTTTTCACCAAGTACAAGGAACTCCAAGGTCAGCCCGTGAAAGGCCCTCAGGATCAGATCGGCATGGAACGGCTCACTCAATTTGTTCAGTCATACAACGACAGTGAAGATGAGCTGCGGAAGCAAGCAAGACTGGGTAAGAAATCAGTGGAAGACAAAATCATCGGTTTGGAGGATCTAGAAGATATACTTCGCCTGTACAACGCGTTTGTTTTCGTCGCGGAGCCTGGGCAAGAGTGGGGCCTGAGGTTGCACATGGATTTCCCGGACCTGTTCAGTGGAAAATCGTAGTCCCCTTTGTAAAGATACGCCTAGTTTTTCCGATAGATATCGAAACTCTCCAGTCGTACCTGTTTGCTGTCCAACCATCATTTGCACCTTACGTCTTTGAACGAGCCTGCTCATCTGCATGTCGCCAACATTCATGCGATACCGACACATGCAACACTGGGGTCCTTCTAATTGAAGACGCAAGATCTTGGGTAAGCTGTACCAGAGCTTGAAGACTGATTCCAGTCTCACGCGGTCTACTACACTATCAAGAAGTCTGCTAGCCGCTATGCCCCATTCTCGGTTGAACATCCTGCTCAAAAATCGAAAACTGGACAACGAGGCGAATCGTGTGATTTGGCATGTCGAAACCAGCTCTAGGGCTGGAGGTCATCCGAATTGCGCAGTTCCACCATTGTTTTGTGTCATACGACTGAACTTCCATCCAGTATCTTGCTTTCCCTGTACATTTAAGAGTACATTCTGAGGTAAAAATCGACGGCTGAAACGAGCTACGATTATCGCGAGATTTTGTCATGATCACGCGACCATATCTTACCCATTATGCTGTGCAGAGAGGTACGTACGAAAGCAAGGGGTATGACTGAAAGGAACTCTTGAACAGATCACGAGTGAAGATCACGCTTCCTAGCTGTTTCGCTAGATATAAAGCAAGCTATCATCGACTTCATCGTCACCGTACATCTAGAAGGAGAAGCTGAAGCAAGCCGTAACTTCATTTACCTCGTATCTGAACGCAAGTCGACACACCATGTCATTCGATGGACAAAGCCGTAGCGAACAGACCCCCGATGTTTCAGCCAACACCAGTCGCGATCTCACAAGCTTGACGGCTGCAGAGATGAAAGATCTCACTGTGGATCAACTCGCAGCGTGGTACGACATTACGGTTCAGGAACTCTTCGAAGCCGTCTCATAACACGCCGAGGAGATCCACCATGCAGCGCAATTGGCGCTTTCTGCGCCGTTCGTAGAACTACTGTACGCAGCTTATGCGGGCCTCGCCAACTCTACCGTCGAAATCCCACAGGAAGACGTGGGAGGGGAAGTCCAGGAGAAGTCCAAGTTCTTTCAGCGATACGACGAGTGGGAGAAAAGATTGATGGACGAGAGCCGCGGAGCTATCTATCTGAACCGCGAAGATAAGATGCGTCTCGGCAACGCGTTCGAGTCAATCGCGTCGCCCGGTCAAGATTGGTCTTTTGATAATCACAAAGCACTGCGTGATCACATCAACACAGTCTGCCCTTCCTAGTTTACTGTGTACAGCTACTCGAATTTCGCAATATACAGTGTTAGTAGTACCTTTTACAGAACAATCCTGTTCGAACAAAGATACGCACTTGATACGTCTGAAGACAAGTCAGGTCCGGGTAGCCTTGACGTGATCTGCTCATCGATATCAGCCAAAGGTACGGGATCGATGTACTGAAACTACCCGAAACTTTTCCATTGATACAGGTTTATTGGTCTATTATCGCTGAGCCATGTCACGGAACGCGACGGCGAAGTTTGGCCACTGCCTATTACGGACTTGCTCAGATCGATGACTCACATACTACAAAGGTCGGCAGATATCCCGTTACACTTTGCGTTTCTTGGTAAGTCGGCTTACTTCAATTCCCTGACTTTTGCTGGCGTCGGTGGCCAACGCTATCGGTCCCCGGGAAACGTCTCAACGATCCAGCAAATGAAGACGACAGTACGAATCACAACAAGACCATGACCACGTTGCCTATCCACATTCCCGATACTGGCTGGCAGCCACCCACGCTTCACTCAATTGGGGCGATGTGGCGCGCATTTGAATCCGTTTTCACCCGCTCGCGTTTCACTTGCTCAGTGGTTTGATCGAAACCCTGGATCAACGTGTGAGGGGATCTATCACAGATTTCATCTAAATCGCTTTCAGAACAAGACGAAATATTGTACCAGACCACGTCAGTCCATGAACTGGACGAGACAGGCTGATCACCAGTCCATTGACCGCGTATACAGCACACCGTTTTGCGCCAAATCTTTTTGGCTTGCACTGGCAATACGACCTGATCTCTCTGCGAGAATCGATGATACGACAATCGCATGTTTAAACGTAGTATGCGACTGACTCAAGTTTGAATTGTGCCAAAGAGCTACAGAGCTGATGGCCCCATCTCGATATGACGAGCGGACAGCTACACCGGTGGCTCACTGTACTGATCTATACGTGATGCATCTTTACGTGATATCACGACTAATTCCGTCACATCACACCTCATCCTCCTTCCTAAAGCAAAAAGTTATCATTGTCTCAGCTCAAGGGTATGATTCAAAGGAAGTCTAGCTGATGATCACGAGGCCAGGATAAGCTTCTTGACCGTTAGCCTGAGTATATGAAGGCAAGCCGACAGTCGGACAGATCCAGTGCTGTGAGATGCAACTGTGTACGTATGCTAACCCCCCGCAGCTCTCGCTTAACTAACTCATTGACCATGCCCCCTGAAGACTGTGACCGTGCGACCACCATGTCCATACGAGACCAAGATGGATCTCGCCAAGAAGGACCCAGCCACGTTGAGTCGGAGGTGGACGTTCGCACATTGTCCGGCACCCAAGTTGACGGTTCTCGGATCCGTCCTTTGACCCCATCCACTCCTGAACCTCGAAGCGTGAACAGCGCTTATAATAACAGTGTTACTACTCTGGAGGCACCAATACCCCAACGAACGGGATCTATATCCGAAATACTCGAATGTCTCACTGCTGCTGCCGAAATGTACGCACCGAAGGAGGAAACTTTCGTCGAACCAGTCAAAAAGGAAACTTTCGTCGAACGTCTCTACGCGGCCTATACAGAACGTAAAGAACAAGGCTCGTTTGAAGGTCATCCGTCCGAGGGAGAAAACAGTCATGCCATGAGGAACTTCTTACTGAATTTTTTAAGGTTCGAATTCGATCGAAAGGCGGAGGGACTAGCGAGTGTTCTACCCTTCCCATTTTGTGATCACCTACTCATCTTAGCGCACGCCTTTGTAGCCATTGCGGAACCAGCGCAAGGCTGGTCTCGACAAGAACACGACGAGTTCTGCCAGCTGTCTAGCCTTTGAATCCTGAACACTTTTGTATATATACCAGTGATACAGTTAGCCAAGCGTCATATTGCTATCCTGTTTGAGACGCCCTCGATTGCTTTTGGAAAGGATCGATGAACCGTCTCATTCCGAAAAGGATACCTTGCATATTGTGCCATTTTATGCTACTCTTGCGTGCTTGGTGGTTGAAGGGCAAGAGCAGCGGTTAGCGTGGATCATAAGGTGCATGATGACGTCCTGGTTGACCAAGGGTCTGAATTAAAGGAAGATCTTCAGCTGATGATACCGGATACAGCGCAAGATGAAGCTTCTCTTCCGTTCGCATGGATATATAGCAGTCTCATCTAGTTTCGATACGACTAATGGCGTCTCGCACAAGAACACCTCCATAACCTCATATCTTCGCCTCGATCCGATCTCTCCCTACAATGCCCACGGAGATTCAAGATGGAACAGCTAGTAGTGGCAAGCCGCCCACCATCGGATCGGCCCACCCGACTACCAAGAATACCCAGAGTGCTCTCAATTGGCTTACAGAGTCTCTGCATGGTGCCGGATCTACATTTTCCTCAGCATTTTCCGGCTGGGGTACAAAGAGAGAGATCAGCGAGTTCGGAAAGCAACTTCATGAGGAATACGTGAGGATGGAAAAGATGGGTCGCAGTGTAATCGACCGCGGTCCAAGAAATACCCGCTACGTCTGGCCCTTCATAGAAGAGTTCCAAAAAGACTTCAACACGCATGAGTCTGAGTTGAAGGCGCAAGGTGGAAGAACCATCGGCCTGGACTCTGACCAGTTGGAGCAATTGTCGCTAGCTTACGTCTCCATCGCGCCCCGTGATTGGCCAATCAAATCCACGCCGCGATACTGGTCTCTAGACGAACATGAGGAACTGCGCGACCTTTTTGGAAGCTGAACTTTGAGGAACTTGTATGATCATGCTTAGTATATGGATGCTGCATCCTGTTATTGTCCTATACCCGCTATGTACCCGATCTCAGGCTGGTACAGTTTCCGTAAGCTTGCTTGCTGTCCACCTGACCGATACAACCAGATGAAACCATTTGTATGCTTCTCTTGCGTGCTTATCCATTAAGGCGCAAGAGCAGCGGTCGGCTGTCCGTCGGATACAACTCCGATGCAAGGAAAGCCAACAAGAATAAAATTGCCAGAGAGGCAGTATCGCTTCTCGGGCTGACTGTTCAATGTACATATAGACAGAAGGGTCTTAGGAAATCAAACTGAAGAGGAAGGCGTCTTGTCACGACAGATCAAGCGAACCGCCCCTTCCCAATAATCCAACTCATTACAACTCACAAACATCAATGTCTTCCAATACTGGATCTTCACTCGCTTCCAAAGACGGATCGAGTCTGACTGGATCCGGTACGATCGACCCAACATCTACGAGCCCTGCCAGCGATCTACCCGCAGTGGAGCCTTCCGAGTCTTGTGCGAAGCGGCTTTACGGTGCTTGGAGGGCTGGCTTGGGACCCACCTACGGTATCGACACCAAACGGGGCGACGAGTTCATGCAGATGTTCGACGCGCATCCTCACGATATCAAGTGTCTCCGCAAAGACGTAGTCGCAGGCGAAGATGAAGAGGATAGAAGGGAACGTAACCGGCAGCGCGACCGGTTGAGGTCCGCTTACCTCAAGACCTCCCCGAGCGGCAAAGCGTATTGGTCGACTGAGCAACACGAAGAATTCAAAGGCCATGTCGTTGGCTCTAAGTAATGCGTTCAGTGGATGTGTTCCGCTGTCAGAGTACTCCTTGTACGCTCGAGCGATGACTTGTCGCATAGATATACGTTTTCGTTCATCGAGCGCATCGGAAAAAAGCCACTCATGCCGGGATCTGTACTCGCCTTGTCTCGGACGATATATGTCTGATCGTTATAATTAAGATGAGAAACGTTAACTCAAGAGCATGGGCCTCAGACTGCGAGATGTACCGACACCAATAACATGGACATCCTGTGCAGGTGGCGGATCCCGCTCATAGATTCGGTCAAGGTTTGCGAGAGCCGCAGCGCATATCGCGTAATCGCCATTTTCGCCCTCGCTAGCGTTCTTGCCGCAAGAACTGCACCTTTGATGCGATCATCGCACGTCATAGTCGCTTGCCGACAGCGTTGTCCTACCTCACCTTTTTCTTGTCCAGTCAAGTGTTTAATGACTCGTGATTACGCTTCAAGCTTCTCCGGGCATAGCTCTCGGCCGAATGGTGAACAAAGGACGAACACATCCTGTGACCTGATATCATTCCATGCTTCCGTGACGTACATTTTCCCTCCTCTACATGCTTGTTGACACAAATTTGATGGATTGCACCAATCTTTACCAATACGAGGTTCCGTGACGTGCTGCGCTGGCTATCCTGCCATATGTCCATCCGAAATAGGTGATCACCTGATATTGCGCCAGTCTGGGATATACTAATCAAGGGATTGGGGTCAAAGGAGACAAGTTCGAGGGTCTATGCTCACGCGATACCCTGGAAACCGGCGGATCGTACTCACGCTGTTGTACTTGGGACACCGATGGCTATATAAGGTTCGCGAGCGCCACCTTGTCGAGCGCAATTTGTAATGGGACAATCGCTCCGAGCCCAACCCTCAGATACCGCTTGAGCGACTCCTTCCTCCAATTCACTTCTCGTCAAAGCGTACCTATCATACGTTTACAATGCAGCAAGACCAACGGACTCTTTCTCTTGATAGCAGCTCTCGATCCCTGACGGATCAGACACACGTCGATCTCGAGGAGTTGACGTTATTGAAGCTGTTGGATCAGCTTTCTGAGCATGGTTCCAACAAGTACACTGGAGATGAGGGGCTTCGGGAACCCACAGACACAGAGGGGAAGGCTCTTGATGCTGCCTGCGAGCGGCATACAGAATCCCTTTACGATTTAGCTTGCGATCCCGGGTCTATCACGTACACTGCGTGTGAGAACTCAAAGAGGGAAGTCTTGTCCCTCCTTGAAGGGCGCGCCTTCGCTGACAGACAGCTCCTCATCGGCAATACGATGGTCCCGGACATCTTCTATGCCTACATCAAGGGTGAAAAGCCGGCTGTGCCTATCTCTGAAAGTGTGATGAACGATGCCAAGACGCATCTCACCGAGATCCAGCGCATGGTGGACAGGGCGTTCGAGGAGGTTGGGGATGAGAACTCGACGACACAGTTGCGACTTCCCGATGAGTGGATGGAAAGATTGACCAATGCCAGAATCATGGCTGGGCAACATCAGGAAATGGATGGGCGGCAATTGCTCGTCTTTTTCAAAATGCTCGAAGCACATATCCTACACAAGGAGAGCCAAGAGGAGGGCTCAAAGGACGGTACTTCTTGCGAAGGCTCGAGTCTGAATGGCTCCGGTTTGAATCCCCCAAATGTATCTTAGACTGCGCAGAATAGTGGTTCTATAATATTGCATGGCGATCATGATAGAAACGATTGATCTGGCCTTGCACCTTTTCCGCACCAATGCGGTTTTGCTGCCTGGCACGCGATGTTCAGTTGAGATCTCATAAGGGTTCCCAGGTAAACGGCGTTGATTTGCAACGCTTTCGTCCATCCTCCTGACTGATTCGCCGTACTATACGATGCAATACGAAATACAACCACAGCCGATGGACGTCGGAACATCAGCACTAAGCGCGGAACGACGAGTCAGTGCTGAGGCATCGTCCGGTGTTTTTCAATACGCGCTTCGTGTTGGATATCGAGTTGATCACCGTTGTATAGTTTGCATGAAGATAAAATATACAAGAGGGGACCAGGAAATCAGACCAGAATGGTCTGATATATATATTAATCTGGGAAGGCTTACTTGCTACCAGAGTCGCAAGTTGTGACTGAACATGCGACCACAGTAGTCACAAAGTTGCGATTGTAGTCGCAAGTTGCGACCGTAGTCGCAGATTGCTAAGCGAGAACAAAAGGAAAGGTGTGAAGAGTGGATGTGCTTTATTGTTCTATGCGGTCTATTGTTCTGAGAACAATAGACGTGTTGGGGAACAATGGGATTCGACACTTCGTTGCTAAAACGCATGTCTATGACACGACTATTTCACTTGAGCACATCACGCCCACAACGTCTCGACGTCTGCTCTGTCTTTGTCGGCAAAGTAGAACATATTTGATTGAAGCTGATCCGAAAGAGGGATTGGCAGGAAAGTACGGAGCTATGGGTTGTATGTGGCTTCAGTTGACCTGAAACACGCCACCGGATGGGGCGGTCCACGAAGGGCGCGTAAATTTGGCGATGAAACGCCACGCGTAAGCGGCGCAGGTCGGAACAAGACTGTCATTTCCAGTAGCTTAGCTTGTATTGAATAATAGCTTGTATTGAGTAATACGATCGTGAACGAGGATCCAGGAAGTACTCCGAGACCATCATACGAGCTAACACTAGGTCGACGAAGGACGTCTACTTGTCATGGGCGTCGATCGAGCCAGCATATGTTGTCATTGTATGAATCCGTGACGTGCTACGCTGCGTCTCCTACCATGAATCGGATTATACGCGACCTCATCAAATGACCTAGAGCTCGTCGCAGAGAGATAATCAAAGGAGGGGAACATGATTCTTGATATGGCTCGAAGTGGATTCTCCGCCTTACAGGCTTCCGCGTATCCAAGATGAGGATATAAGGCTGCAAGATCATACACTTCTGACTGTATTCCCAATCAAGTATGATGCTGAAGATCGGAATCGGTAATCCTCCCTTTCGCCAAAGCAACTCATCACGACTCGAATTCAGATACGATGTCTTCCAGCCGATAGTCATTGCAGCAACCCGACGACGGGACGGCTTACAATGAACAAGCTCCTCATACTATGAAATCAAGTGACGGGACCATGGAAGGGTCACACAATCGTTCCACCTGGTACGATGGCTCATATTCGCATGCCAGGTCGGAAATGAGGGATTATGAGTCGAGCTACAACGAGGCTGCAGAAAGGTTTTATCGCGCGCCCGACCAAAGGAGCCTGGATGTTCTCAACGTGTACGCAAAGTCTTTCATCGGAACCCTCAGTGATCTATCCGTACAAGAGCGAACGCAAGCCGATGAAGCCATGGTCACCGAAGCCCAGGAGGGACTGAAACTGTGGCCTGTGTATCTTGCTTTTGTGCGAAACACGCGACCAATGGAGACCGTATCTGATGCTGTCATGCTTGAAAGGAAGGAAGCGCTTGCCAAAATGCACAAGGAGTTGGAGTATGCCAAGGATCACCAGTATCCCTCGTACATTCAGTCGAAGGAAAGTTGGAAGATGAGGTTGGTGACAGCCGTATCCGCTGCGAAAACCTCCCTGGACGATTGGACCTACCACACGCTTGGCAGATTTTTCATGCTTCATCGGGAATACTCACTCAACAACCTAGTGCAGTTGGACAGGCTGATGCGAGCCGCACAACAGGGGAGAAACAAGAATCGACGGTTACCGAGGGCTGGACGCGGTCAAGGTGTGGAGAAGCCGCAGAAGCGTCGATGATCAGAGATGCCACAAGCCCATTGTAATACCGACAAGATCACATGTTTTCTTTCTGAGGATGTAACGCTTGTATTCTGCTCATACATGAAGATACAGATGAATGCTTGCTTTCTGGCTTGTATATATCGCTACCCGCCTGCCTTGGCCTCGATCGTTGACTCATCGCGACTCGAGATTTCTCCTCTGACACTGTTGATCGAGCGGAATACTTGCGTTGTCGATCGTAGACCTTCAGATACTCACTTTTAGGACTTGCGGTCTTAAGTGGTCTTTAGCGCCTTCAAGGTGGGTCATATGCGATCAGGCGTCGTCGACGCCGGCTCTTTCTGCTACGCCACACGGATAGCTTAGTGGATCGCTGGACCGATCCATCGTAGAAACGGTAGATGACAGATACCAGCTGAGTCTAATGTTATTGCCGATAACTCCCATAAAGAATTCTCAGCGGATAGAATTGCTTAGGATTTAGGAACAGTAAACGTGTACCACCGTCGACAGAGCACGAAACGCGCGTGACTTTTCGTAGCATCGTTGACGGATGACGAACTCCGCAAGTCACCTGCACAACTACCGTCGCTAGCGTGCTTGTCGCAGTTCAATCCCTGATCGTGCGAGGGGCACATGAAAGGAGTCCCTCTGTATGATGTCACGAGAAGCTGTTAGTCTTTCGGATTTCATGCTTCTCCGGTCATCGCTTGGTGCATATATACGCCTCCGTGATGGAGCGATTTCGATGGCGAAAACTTTGAGCAAAGAGAGGGCAATCGTACTCGGTCTCACCGGCTTATCGATCTCTCAGACCTCACGTTTAACGACTTCAGCACAGATTCCCTGAACAATGGCGTCTGAACTCTCCATCTCCGAAGATGTCTTGACAGACATCAGAAGCGTGTTCTCCATCAACGACAGCAGTGACTACGATAAGACAACCTTGGATTTCTTGGCCCACACGATTTCGTATGCTGGAGGATCGGTGTCGGGCGAGGCAGCCGAGAACAGCAGGCTCGCAGCCGGAAATCCGGACCCCCTACCCTCTTATGCAAACGATCAGCGGCCCGGGATACAATTCTTGACCGTGTTGCCTGTCTTGCGATACTTCGTGAATGATCTGGAAGGACGTTACGGCGACAAGCCGTTCAAGAACATCCTGCCTCCGTATCAGGTGCAGACGAGATTAAAACAACTCGAGGGCTTCAATGACCACCCGGATGTCCCTACCGCTATTCGGCTGACTGAAGCTGAAAGAGACAAGCTGGCAGTCGCATGTAAGGATGCGGATGTCGCGCTACCACCGGAGGAAGAATTCAGAGCGTGGACGTGGAGGACGTACCGGGCTTTTTGCATCTTGTGGCACCGGTACAAGCTGGCCCGGCCTCAGAAATTTTCCGACGTCGCTCGTATCAACGACGCTTTGTCAGGTGTGACCCTCGGGCTTTCTGTGACTTAGTTGTACGTTTGTACCTTGTAGGATCTGCGCTGTGAACTTGTCATGCCAAAGAAGTCCGTTAGCAGAGTCCTTGCAGCTGTATCTGATTGCTCGTCAATCGATGTTTCTTCGCTTCCGATATTGAGCATCCTCTCTGAATCCGCTGAGATACCCTCGAAACATTCGCGCTGAGTGTTTACAATCGCACGTCCAGGATTTCGAGAAGCGGTTCTGGAAGGGGAGGTAGGCAAGTGGCGATTGTCTCGGACCAAAACGAGGCGCACGCGCGCGGATCGAACATGAGTACATGAGTGGATAGAAAGCCTCAGTAATCTCCTTCTCGTTATAAGGTCAAAGCAGGTAGTGACACGCAACTAAAGTCGTGTCTGTGGCGGAAGCGCTTGCAGCGTCGAGCTGGTATATCGAACGCTGTCCCTGTGGCAAAAAAAAGCCAGAAACGGGACGCGCTGCAATTCGCATGTTGGGGAGCGTAGTCCTGATCTGACGCTCTGACATGCTTCAGTTGGCACAGCGTGTCCTGCCTGCCGATTCTCCCCGGAGCATTGCAGTGTCTTTGTGGTATGTTTCTAATCTCCTCGTTTGGTGGCGGTGATGCCAAGGCAAACAGATTTGGACCGAGGACGACATATCAATCACAGCGGTTCTGAACCGCGAAGGACGTAACATGGAATGCTGGTACAAAAAGGATCGCTTCACAGCCATTCCACCCGAATTGAGGGGCTGTGTGGTACCAAACAGTGCTAACACCGAGAGCCTTTCGCTGATGATAGCCACTTTACATATTTAACGCTTCCAAGCCATGGGACGTTCAATGAGTATCACCGTCTATTGTATAACTACTCTCGGCGTGATTTTGTTCTTGTGTTCTTTAGATCTCACAGGAATGACGACAGAATCCGAATCAAAGGCCTTTGGGTACAGCGATCTCGGTGCGTGACAAGCGCAGTCAAAAGCCCGAGTAACTACGTCACTGCCCCTAATTTCGGTGATGACACGTCAAAGGAGAGCGCTGCCCATGATGTCATGTTCCGCCTTTTCTCCCTAAAACTCTTGCTTCTCGCTCTACCACGCCATGTTTATATAATGCGGCGGCGAAAAAGGGCAATTCAGGTGGCAAATTTCCGATATACTCTTACTCTGAAGTCGTAAAATTCAACCCGCGATAAAGCTCATTGATCTGAGCAGTCTACAACCCCCATCGCAGGACCCACCCGCCGTTGAAGATGTCTTCGATCGACTTGTCTTATGGCACTGATGGGACTATCGCCTCCGCGTCCGATGCCAAGCTTAGCAATGTCTTCTCCATCAACGCATCGGCACTCGATCTCGAATCCAAAGAAGCATTGACCGCCTATTGCTCCTACGCCCAAGGTCGCGTTTCCATCGCAGCTGCCCGAGTGAAACGCGACAAAGCGAGAGCAACAATCTCAAAAACCATACCAGATCCCAGTAGAAAGGCGGGGGACCATCGACTAACCTTGCTCGACACCTTGGGATACTTTACGGGTGACCTGGATGCCAAAGTCAGGGAAGACGACGGCATGCTTCCTTACGACCAGAGCGCCATGCTGAAATTACTCGGGCCATTCAATCAGGAACTGGAGTCGCACGATAAAGAGAAGCATCTTGCTCTGACGGACGAGGAATTGAATACTCTGGCCGGTGCGTGCCTGGACGCCGGCGGTCCTGACATGAAGTATCCATGGGGAGACAGATCGTGGAATTTCGGCGTCTTCCGAGCGTTCTGCATCCTCTTGCAAGAACACAAGCGCGCCAAACTTGGCAAAGCCGATGCAGCCTCGATGAATTCAACCGATTCACCTGCCTTGACCTCCTAGTCTCTCAGAATCTGAGCGAAGAGAGGCACATCGAAACCACATAGCTCCGGGCGTTGTACCTTTCTGTAGAACCATATGAGATTTCCTCATTCAGCCCAACCCGTCATGCCTTCGAACCTGATAGAACAGTGACATTCAGTTTTACGACCTATGATACACCTTACCTGAAACTTGCATGAGCCTGCGAATCGCACCACAACGACCAACAAGCCGATAGGTATCATCCTGCCTTCCCACCGGCTCCAAGGGAGATCTTGTTGCATACGACGTACTAGAGCACAATACACAATCGCCATGCGCAACAGGTCAATCAGGCAAACAGCAGGATCCATTCTGGCGGAAAGTAAGGGTACAGTAACAAGAACAAGCTGATATCATTGTCATTCAGAGTTCATGATGATGACGACAAGCAGTCTCATTAACGGAATCGCGCTGTCATACGAGGTATTACTGTACCCGCAGACGTACCAGATTTTGTACCACCACACCATCGGCGCACACAGCATTCACACCATTCACGATCTTCACATCCATCTCAATCTCTCTTCCACACCACGTCTGCGACCCATATCGCTCTTCGACCATTCTATTCAAATACATAACATCACTACGATCACTACGATAACCCCCTTACTCGCGCTTCTCCCTCCTCGCTCTATCGCTAATCCACAACCTTTCCGAGCCTGAACTCAGTCTAGATCTTCGGAGCATCAACACTCGGTTCCCCGATCTTCAACCCCTGCTTGCCGACGTAAAAAGCGACCCTCTGAGCAACTTGTTCAGCCCCGGATTTGGGTTTGGGGTAGAACCTGCGTTGTGGTTGTCGTAATCGCGAAGTAAGACGGGAAAGAAGAGAGGAGAGGTGATCGGAAAAAGAGAGAGAGAGAGAGGCACAGGGAGGAACCGGTGTCAGTATCACTAATCGTCGATCTCTTTGATGCGGAGGTAGAAGCAGAGCAAGGAAGAGTGGAGGAAGAGACGCCGCGGTCTCGTGATCGTTCAGTGAAGAGGAGCAGTGGAGAGGAGTAAAGAGGAGAGGGCGAGAGAAGGAAAGGCCGGTTCGAGAAGATAGAATCAGAGTAGCGTAGACTGACCAAGCGATATCCTTCAAGACGGTCCCATCCTCCCTCTTATAGTTGTAGTACGAAGCCTCGCCTGTCATATCCAGACACCATACCAAGTATCAGCATCTTATTCTGACTATATCTAGGCGACGGCCCGCAGTACGACATGAAACGAGAGAAAAAACTCACCTTTCCATCCACAAGTGGTATGCGTCCCACTCTCCTCGAACCTCTCCCGGTGCTTCAAGTTCTGTTCGGGGAAGTAAAAGTCTACACCCACCGCCACCTTCCATCAGCTCGTCCTCCCGAACAACAACGATTATGAACAGATGATGATGAATGGAGTGAGACTCACTGCCCTCGACGGTAATAGCGTCGGTCTCATCGCAAGAGACGAGGACGTCGTTCTCGAGCAAGACGGCGATCTGGGTGGAGGCGGACATGGTAATTTGCTTTTGATATCGACTTGGCAAGTATTTGGAGGTGAACTGTAAGGTGAAGTGACGACGAGGTAGCGAAAGGATATTGTTAAATCGAGGTCGAAAGATGGTTTGAATTGAACGTGTCGAGGTGCGAGGTAAGATCGATCGAGAGAGCGAGGGGGAATGCGCTGATGACGAGATCGAGATGATAGATGACGTCAGCATCGTACGTCATATTACGTCGCGTTCAGACAAGCATGGTCACGTGACCTGTAGCGATCACTGATGTGCTATCTTATCGACGTGACTGTCTGTACCTGTTGTACGACATGTACAAAGCTCTTCGCAAGTAGACATCTCGTTCATTCCACTGAGAATCCCGAAAGCCTCCCCACGAAAACCAGCTGCCCCCAGGATTTATGCTATTCCATGCCCGCCTACTCGTAATACCTCCTCCCCCCAAACTCGTTGACGTAAGGCGAGATCGACCTCTCCCGATAACTCTCCCCGTCCAAATCCCTGTCCAACCTCTCCAAGTCCCTATCCCTGTTCCTCCACGCATAATCCCTCCGCTCCTCCCTCTCCCTATCCCATTCCCTCTGCCTCTCCCTCTCCCGTTCCCTCTCCCTTTCCCGCTGCCTAGTCCTGGTGCTCGAATCGAGCCCCATCCTACCTCTCATCCTCTCCACCCCCTGTAACCCTCTCATCACCTCCGCACTCGCCTCGACATACTTCCTCACCTCCCCCCCGCTGATGAACCTCTCGAACTCTGCGGGAGGGCCGGAAGATTTGAGAAGGTAAGTCCGGTTGATCGCTTCGAGCGTGGAGAGGAGGGCTTGTTCGGTCGAGTTGAGGGTTGTTGCTAGGTCCAGCTGGCTAGGGGCGGGGTTATTGTTGTCGTTGTTGGTGGTGGTAGCATCTGCGTGGGACTGACGGAAATCACCGCGACCCAAATCCGTGGAAACGATGGGAATAGGCTCATCTTCCCCATTTCGTCCCGCCGCAGGCGAACCAGAACCAGCACCGGGGGCAGGATCGGCGGCATAGCAACTAGCGATCATGGGCGGAGCCCGATCCTCCCCATCCCTATCCTGAACCACAGCCCCAAACGCACGATCATCCCTAAACGCACCCGCGGACGCCTCCCCCCGACTCGTTCCCGTTCCCGTCCCCAACAACGCCGTAGAGACGTCCACCTCGCCCGAATAGATCCTCATAGCTTCTTCCCTCGAGATATCCCTCATCCTCGTCGCCTGAGGAATGGGCATCGATGATGTCGAGTTGGGTCGGACTTGTGCTTGTCTCGATCCTGGTCCTGATCCTGGTCTGACTCCCGAACCGATCGCAGCCCGAGCGGCAGGTCCCGAAACCGCCCCTGTTCTTCCTCCTTGTGCTGCTCGTCCTTCGACACCCCCTTCAGATTCTCGAGATCCCCTGGAAGGCCTAGAGACCGTCCCATCCGCCTCCCACATTTTCCCGCAGATCACGCATTCCTTCTTCTGTCCCCCGGTCCCACTCCCACCTGTACTTCCTGCTCCGGTCCGTCCACTTCCTCCTGCACGTCCCGCACCCGCATTCCTTGCCAACCCTCCACTCCCACTCGTGTCGGTCGTCCGCCCCCCGCTACCCGCATTCGCCTGCCGGCGAGGATGGCCAACAAGCGGGATCCCATAACACCCCTCATTATCACACACATCCGACAATAGAGAGTATCCTTGCAGCAAGAGGGTACCTATGAGGTTGGATGCTCTGTCTGATTGTTGCCGGCGTGTGAGTGCTTCGTTAGCGTCGGTATTGGGGGTGGGGGTTGTGGGGTTGGTGGGGGTGCGGGTTGTGGCGGTTGTGGAGGTGCGGGTTGGGGTTGGGGTGAAGGTGGAAGTGAGGGTGGGGTTGGTGGGGGTGGTAAGGATGGGGATGTTGGGTGGGGTAGAGGCAGCTGGGACGTTCGAGCCTTGTCCGAATCGGTCTGTCGACCCCGGTCCCATGGCCGGAACCGAAGTACCGTTGTTCTCCCCAGCCAAAGCCCGTCGATAACACTCCGGGATGAACTCTTCCAACTCTCTTTCCAAGTCCGAGCTGATGCTTTCCGCCTCAACATTGTCGCCTTCATCCGCGTCCTCGTCTTCGCTGTCGCTATCATGTGCGTGTCCGTTCAGTCCGTGTCCGTTGATTCCGTGCCCGTTGATCCCATGCCCATTGACCAGCCCATTAACTCCCCTGACCTCGACAACCTCCCTCGTACTACGCCCAGCCTCCCTTCGTTCGCCCCCCGGAGCACCCTGACACCTCGCACAAAACTCCACCCTCCCCCTCTCCCCCCTTCCCTCCGCTTCGGCCTGTCTAAGCGGTTCTCTCATTAACGGCGTGGTGTTGCATGACGGACAGTGGATGGCGGTAAGTGTCCAGCCTTTGAGCATGTATTCGCCCAGCTGTCAGGTTCGGTTCGGTATGGTATGATAAAAGAGACGGAGAAGAAGGTAGACAGTGGTTAGTGGATGATGAGATTAGGATGAAGGTGATGAAAGGTGGGTGGGCAAGGAACGGAGGTTAGGATGTTGAGATGTGGGCTAATTAGGCTTACGATGGCAGAGACGGCTTCGAGATCGGACGACATCGTGGACTTCGAGGTTTTGGGTGATACTCTATCGTTGTTTATCTGGCTGTGCTGGCAGAGCAAGATCTGGTTGGTTGGACCGGCAGTATGCAGGTTGCAGGTCAAGAGAGATTTTTTGAAGATGATGATCGAAGAGGTTGAGGTTAAGGTCGAGAGGAAAGTGGGCCAACGTCATCAGATAGATGTCAGCCTCGGGTCGCCCAAACCTTAATCCGTCGGTTTCAGTCCGGCTCGATTCGGTTCGATCGCACCATCTCCCTGCGTTCTCGTTCTCGACCCTATACCACAAGCTAGAGACGCAAGGAGAATTTCGTAGTGGGTGGACCCGGCTGGCCATAATCTGAATCCCGGTTTGCCAATTGACTGCGAATGCGCTCTTGCTGAGCGTAATCTTTTCGTATGTACTCGACCGATACCGCCCCCATCGTCTGCGGGAAATCCGTCACTCGTGCTGCAAAGTTGTGAAACCTGAACCAATATTCATCTAGATGGCCACAAAAACTGGATCTCTACCCATTCTCTGACCGTGGCCAAACACTCTCAAACAAATCGTTCGTAACAAAAGACATGCCACGATAAAACCCCGTTGCCTATCCTCGATTATGGTGGTTGGCATCTACATCGCAGCAAGAGGTCCGTCTCAAGCAGAAATCACAGAGATGAACATCAACCTTGCTCGGCTAGCCGACTCCGTCAAAGACTTAGCCCGTCATAAGCGCCATCTCCCAATCACCATGAAGCAGCGACACGTTTTGCGTCGTATCCCGATTTCGTTCTGTTCGCTCGAACGATCGCAGTATTGGATGGAACAGGTCTCTTTTGCCTTGGACATCGACAACGCCAGCGACGATAGATTACATCTACTCTACCGTACCTCGTTAACTCTTAGTCCCTGCACTTTTGGGCTTCTGTGACTCACTTGGTCCGAATATTTTGCGCAGCTGTTACTCGGTCAAACCAGGCATTCAGTTGAACTTGTCATCAATAACATTGAAAGGCCTTGCGCTAGCCTGCCAGATCACTGGTCACCGTCCACATCTCCGAAACACGAATCTACAGCATGCCGGCAGCTTTTTTCGTCAAGACTGAATCAATTCGGGCTTGGTGAAAGCGGAAGATCCCTTCTCAAGGTAAGTCTGGCCCTTCCCTGCAAAACACCTGTGTCTGACGTTTGACGTCTTTTTCCTTGGATGTTGATGGTCCTGACTCGTACCACCTGGTATGGGATCAGAAGTAATTTCCTTGAAGGTACAAGACAATAGTAAAGTGATACGAAAGCGACTACAGGCAAGGGACGATCGGTACTGTAGTTAACAGACACCACCTTCAACTCGAATGCCAACGGGTTCAATCTCGTCTGCGTCAGGGTCCGCCGAAGGATTTCTCTGCGCCTTTTTCCGGCGATTCTGTAGAGCGGTGTACCCGTTGATCCACAAGATCAAATTCCTTCGATCGATATCGGCCGGTCCGCCACTGTAATCTGCAGCTTGTTGCAAGATCCACTTCAACTCCTCATGATCGGGTGTCCATACCGTCCGTGTGCAGATCAACAACGGCTTCAAGCATTTCCCTGTATCCTTTTCGGACCAGTACTTGTACATTAGCGTGACTACATGATACTTGACCTGTAGACCGCCTCTGAAGTGTGTCGGCATCTCTTCATCACAGTTCGGCCATTCAGCCTGGAACCATTTGCGAGCCGCTGTTTGCAAATCGTAGTATGCCTTGATAGCCGCCTTCTTTCGCGGGCTGAGCTTCTTCATCGTTCCCGGCTTCTTGCTGTCTTGTCTCCATGTGGCTCGGGAAAGTGCCTCGTATGTCTGTTCAGAGATCTCAATGCCCGATTCAGTCTGCACAGACCGGACCACCTGAGAAGAGTTCTCCGTTGCCAAGGTCACGTCCACAAATTTCACATCTTCCGCTTCCGTCTCGATCGAAATGGTCGACCGCATTTCTGTCCCCGTATACGAAGAAATGAACCTCTCTCCTGTTCATCGTAAAGGAGAGGAAAAGATAGAGAGAAAGTCAGTTGAGTCGATTAGGAGAGCAACAAATCATTGGGATCTTACCGAATGACCTCAGCATGTTGAACAACGTATTGCGCCTAGATGACTTTGTTTAAATCTCGGTATTCATACAATCGCCAAGGTTGGGTAATTTCATGAAGCTTGTCGATCACTAACGTGAGCCAGGAGCCTGCTATTCGTACTTGTGAATACTTAACACGCAGCTGAGTTGCCAGTAGTGGCGAATGACCTTCAGCAGAGCAGGCTGGATGCTGTCCTACGTCAGGGGAGTCTTTGAAAGGAACAACCGAGAAGCATGTTTCAGGTTTCAGGTGAATAGTCCCGCTCGCGGCGAGATTCTACAGGGACCTGCTTGGGTAGACGTTTTCAGCTTGTGCCTGCTTAATGGAGCAAGGGTATTACGGAATGGTGAGGCAGCAAGCCGTCTTTTCAAGAATATACTAAGCTGTGGATCCAGCGATCGACACATCATAAGATCCCCACATTGCTTTCTAACTCCATGCGCATATAAGGCTGTCAATCAGTGCCAAACCTATATAAATCTGCTTCTCCCCCGCGACATCAATCTCGATCCTGGCGTCCCAAGCTCAACATCCGGGCACTCTTCTGCAAGCTTATCGGCCTACTCAAAGCCCGTCTTTTCTTGTCTCGCCTTCTTGTGACGGTATTCCCAGATCCACTCCTCCAAGACTTCGCTCTTGATATCAATAGGTCGGTAGATGGACTCCAGAACTCTTCGCGACCGGGATTCTAAGCGATACGTCTAAACCTCCTGTTTCTTCTCGTACTCAGCTCTTTGTTGTGTCGGAGGTACATCTGATAAATACGATGCGTCTTCATATACGTACGATCTTCGACGAAATTTTTCTTTTTAAAGAGTACCCTTCGATAGTCGCGCCACTTCTCTTCGATCCATTCCTGTGAAAGCATTCCGATGCGGCAATAATCCTGGAGGGCCTTTCTCTGCGAGGCAGTCAGGAGTACCACCTGTTCGGAAGCTACTTGACTATCAGGTACTTTGGCAGAAGTCGCGGCGGATAAAGCTTCATTGTCCGTTCGACTGTTAAAGGTCGACGCCTCTGTCGGAAAGACGTCGATCGTCGAGGCACGATGCGCCCGGCAAAAGATCGATCGCACATCCTGACTATTATCAGGCAGAAAAATGACAGGGTACTGGCCTTCAACTGCGATAGGGGAAGTCTCAGGAACGATCTATATCCCATTCCAAGCTTCAGAAGAACGACATATATGACGTCCGGATGAGGTATGTCTGAGCAACTTCTGACCGGCCCATTGGTTTCCAAGGCAGGACCACTTGTAGCACTCAGACGAACTAGATCGGAGATAGTATTACATGGGGATTCGGACAGCGACCAGGTACCAGGAGTATGAGGAGAGGGGCTGGTTTCATTATGCAGACGAGCTTGTTGATGAACCTCATTGTGCAACGGGATAGGACCTAATCTTCTTATAGTAGTCGAAATCGCCAGTCGAGAATTGACAGCACTCCGAGTCGGCTGTCAAGACCGTGTTAAAGAATAACATGATCAGCCTTTTCTTTCGACTGTACCGGTAAGGTGGGTGTCATGCTCAAGAACTCACTTTCGTACGCGTCACATCCTGAGTCGAAGACCGAGACATCCTCTATCTCCAATCCCGACTCGCCATTGGTCTTCGTGATTTTCTCCGGGTTGCTCGAATAGAGTGTGCAATTTCCTGTTTTCTCACGGTAAAATTTTGTGAATGATACAGCCGTACAGTTTTCACCTTTGCCTGCTTGTCGAAAATCCCATTTTACCAACCGTGATTAGTCTTTCGAGCTCTCGTGGTTGAGGAATCTCTTTAGGGATGATACTTACGTTGGGGGAATTGATCAGCCGCGGCCAAGCATTCAGCAGCACAATCCAGTATACTTGTCATATTGGCACTCCTTTGAGCCAACTGGAGATCCAGCCGATCAGTTGTCTTTCTGGATCATTAATCGTTGGTGAAAAATCGCTTACTGGTCTGAGGGTACCCCAATCCCCTTTGCCATGCCACGAGCTCCAGGGCTGGGTGTAATCTGATTTCCCTTCGAACCAACCTGGAATACATTCTTCTCCTTTGCTCGGATCGTATTCAAGGCGATTGCCTTCATCAGGGAGTTGAGCCGAGGCGAGACCAGCTCGGAGCAGCGACAAGATCGCGATAACTGTAATGTACTGTTGCATGTCGAATGTCGTTCGCTGCTTGATTTTATTTATTATTCCCTGAGCACATCAGGAGAGAACCGATCGATCGTCCCAGAGATATATACTCTGATTTTATCTACCACGAAAGACTGAAACACGACGATATCAAGGCCAACCCCTTTGAGACGTCCTTTCATAGATCATTCTCAAACACGCGCTGAAACGCGTTTCAAGCGCGATGTCAGTACAAAAACAATGTGTCTCACCTGCAACGCCTGACGACCTGCCATTCTGCGCCTTATGGCCTGCTTTCCTTTACCGACCCTGCACAACCTGGGAGCTACCCCGTTGCTGCCCAAACTATGTCGTCTTAGGTCTCCTCGCTGCCTTGGTTCGAGGTTTTCCCTTGTGGGGTTCGAACTCGGGTGAGCGAGTCCTGATACACTGTAAATTTATCCGCTTCACTCATCAGCGTTATTTCTGTTGCCCTCACAATACGAATATTTTCAAATATATTGATTCACCAATGAGCCGATGTCTTTTACCTGTGTGTGTATACTTGTAAAGTATGGTGTGGCTTCATGATGATGTCGCGCTCGAGTGTTCCCATCCGATGCCCCGAGTTCAGACTTCGGTCTTTACTCAAGCGTTCCAAGCCCCCGTCGAAAAGCCTGTTGCAAAGTACTCAAACTGGCCTATATTCCGTCATCAACCGTCTGATCGCCTTTGATCATGTCTTTCTATTTGCTGAAGGATCTCGCTGATCATACCTTGAAACCTATGATCCTCGGAAGCGCAAGCTCAAGGATCCCGCTCATCATGGAAAGAACATCCCGCGTCCCTTTCCAGAGTTCTAGCTTGACCGCCAGTGTCTATATGTGTTCTCAGGACTCGCTTACATTACCAGGAGATTTTGCCCTTCGACATTCAAGGGGCGAGACGGCAAATACATTACATAAAGACTCTGTCAGTCTCGCTCATCACGATAACACAGCAGGCCCAGGCTGCGCAACCATCAGCTCTCGAACAGCCGAAGCGAAGGAGGCAGGCAGCGGATCAGGTCACAGCCCCTTCACTTGGAACCTTCGGCAGAAGACGCACCAGCAATCGCAGAGGCAAACCGAGTAGCAGCCTATGAGCTCTCGACCCTGTTCAACACCGGTGAACCCTGGCTTTAGGTCCATCGGGTCCGGACCGCAAGCACCGCTGACGCGCGAGCCCTGAAACTGGCGTTCATACAGGTAGGGTCGCGCTTGGATCGAACACGCGCTGACGATTCCCGTCGCCCTAGATCTCTCCCTCATCTGTACTACTATGGCTCATATCGACTCGATCCATCATTGCGTACTTTTCTCAGCGCCCTAGCAAATCACTAAGAAACGTGTGCCATCTAGGCGCTACCCTCACTGTATGCCCTGGTGCGACTGTATGAACCCGTCAAACACGGTCTATCGGGCTTTCTGCTGAACAGCAGTTATGAGTGCGAAAATTTCAAATCGTTTTCAGCATGCAAAGGTCACACTGCTTCAAAATATGTGCCTCCATCTTTCGGTCGATAATGTCTATCAGCTACGGCGCGAAATTAGAACACTTGTCCACGTTGGCCTGACGGTGACATGTTCTGTAGCTCTCACTCGCTCTCCTCGATCAACATCCAAGATAAATTCACAAAGCATAATACCATATCTGTACATGAGCGTCTGACGCAAATGACATCTGCCGCAAGAGATACATGGAGGCTAAAGAAAGGCAAGATGTAGAGCTCCGGCACACCAACCTCAAATGCGTTGCGCAATGTAACTCGCGATCATCGACCAGTCATTGTCGGTCAGCACGTGAATGCTCCGAATGCACAGATTTGCTGCAGCAACTAACTGCCCCTGGTTGACCTTGTCCAGATCGTTCCTGCTTTCCAGGGCTGTTTTACAGTTCTGGAGAGCCCTCAACCAGTCACTGCTGCCCCGATCCTCGTACAAGTTCCCGTGGTTGTACTTGACGAGGATCCTGGAACACAAGTTGTCGTTTACAGTCGCAGCTACAGAACTACCGGTTGAATAGTCGGAGGGACCAGTCCACGGGTTGATAGACTCGTTGCCGTTGGTGTAGGTGGATTGGTAAGACATGCTATCGCGAGGCTTTGTGCAGCTTGCTATGTGTGTGGGATGAAGATGTCTGATGGGTATGTCAATGACTGGAGCCCACATGAGACCGAGGAAATACTTCGGTCTTGGGGAGGCCCTTTTATGCATTGTTGTGTGGCTCTACCAGTAAAACTTTTCTCGGTTGGACTCCGTTGTAAAGAAGTTGGACTTGAATATGCGAGGACCACTCCTTTGAGAGCTCCGGCCGTCTTCCTTTCCGATTTCCTCCTTCCAACCGCTAACAATGGAGACCTCGATAGGTCGGTCACGCCAGTCAGCCTCCCTTCTGCTTTCCTCCTCACGAGTCGACAATGGATGTCGAGTGTCACTGTGTAGCCGGCTCAACGTCATCGCAAAACTCGGCTGCGCTCCCGCTTGAACTCCATAGCGATCTGCAACATCGGCAGGAATACCCTACTATTCAGGCGAAGCAGAGAGAGTATCACTTAGGCCGTTTGATCTGCTATCGGTACGAAACGCCGACTTCCCCAGCGGTTTATGCAGCATGGTCAGGCGCATCAGCACCGTGTTCAAACATTTCAAAGAGAACATTGTCATCATCAGTTCATCACCAGATTGGGCGAAGAAGGTGATCATGAAAGGAGGGTACGCACTCAACATGCTTTTCAGTTTCAGAAAGGGCTTACGTACAAGATTTCCAGTAACACGAGCCCATAGATCCAACGGCTTGTGCAAATACCATCGCAAGAGGGTGAAAGTCTTCGCAGTAGGTGTGCAGAACAGTCGCCGCAAGGTAACTCAAAGCTAACACAATGCCCCTCGGTCACTCCCACGCGATGGACCCTTGTGATTGTATATGACAACTTTCCGCTGATACCGTCGTGATCAATGGTATCAACATACTCCGGTCCTACCGAACATGCGATGTGGATGCGCGAATCATCCGGACCGTTTCGGGCCATAATCGAAGAAATGAGCGGCAATGTTCTTGCGGCTTCTTGACAAGCTGGACAATCCGAACTCTCTGGTTATCATGACCATCAACGATATGGTAGGCAACAAACCGGTTGCAAAGAAAGGGGCTGTAATCATTTCGATGTCATTCCTGACTAGCATATACATTGTTCTAGTCTGATCTGCTACCGCGGCCATGCAACAAGCTTCTTAAGGCTTGAAAGAGGTGGGTATCAAACAAGCCAGCCTCCAAATATTCTAGAACCATGTCCTGATGATGGATGTTATCCGGGTTAGGGAGCAGCTTTTTCAGATTCTGGCTGACTGCGATGCTAAACTTGTCCAGTTCTTCGCTTTGCTCATTGGGGGGATTCCATATCTTGTCCATTCGATTATAGACCTCCGTCACCAACAATCTTTCATGATCGGGTGCATCTGCCCACCATTCTTCCGTTTTGGAATAGGCTATGCCAACCGCTTCACAGAATTCCGCCATCTTCCAGACGTACTTCGAGACTCTTTCTTGCTCCTCACAGCTAGACGCCGTCCCAGGGCCGATCGCAGTGGGAGTCCTCGAAGCCAGATCCGACCAATTAATGAACTGGCGTGCATCGTTGGCTGTCATGTCACACAAAGTCACCGAAACAGAGTTGACAAAGAGCAGAAGCTTTCCGTGGTATTCTGTATACTCGAAAGCACTTGAATCAGGGGCGATTCTCGATGAAGGAGGAAAAATTTAGGTAAACTGGTGGCTGATCTTCGTCAGTTTCGATAGTGTATCGGCATCGAGATCGCTTTTATCAATCTTGTTGATGTTAGACATCAGTATAGATCTGGCTATATATCGGCGAAGGGTGAAGCATGTGACAGCCGTACAGGACGAAATCGCCCGCGACATCTCGTATCGGCTTATATATTGATTATACTGAAGGTGAAACGTGGATTGTTACAGCCATGTGAGATAAACGGAGCGATCCAACTGACCACGTGACGGTATTTCATGCCTACCTTTGTTTAGTATGCCGGCAATGTTGCCATCCGTATGGCCCTCGCCCTCGATCTGGCAGTCACAGCAGCTACCCCTTATGCAATGAGGTCGGTGGTTTTAGCGAGCTGTTGGATGCCTGAAAAAAATTGTTGCATGAGAATATAACAGGCAGTAAACGGTCTACGTCAGGCTGAAGAAAACGCCTCAACGCGCGCTTGGACCTTTACCGTTGTTCATTATCGTCTGACCTGGTAACGTCTGGGTGATTTTCAGGTGATTGATTCAGATACATAGTTACAGCAGACTTTTATGCTGGGGCTACCGGTCCCTGACTCTATATACACTGCTCCTACGAAAGTGACTGAAATATTCTCGAAAAGCGGATCGCCGTCACGGCCCTGGTCTAATGCGTCTCAGAGCGCGTATCATCACCATGCACTCTAGGTTCCGTTCACAAAGCAACATACATTCCCTGGTTCGAGTTCCATACGGTAGATGCTTTCGCCATCTCCTGTTGGTAGAAAACCTTCAATCCCGCCAGATGTCTTTGTGACGTGGAAGAGCCCAGGGCGTGACGTCCATCCGTCATAGTCGGGATCAGTCGTGCACTTTTTCGGATCGCCAGGAGTAACCGTTCCGTAATCCACGCTTCTGTTGAGCCGACGGCGGGGGGAGGACCGGGCATACTACCGATGGCTTTTCGGAGTGCGCACCAGATGGACCACAGTTGCCGGCGGATGTCGACCTTCTCTTCTTCTGAAACGTTCAGAGACGAGACCATCGGTAAATCTAGACTATTGTTGTATAGCCTGATCACTTCGGATGTGAAAGTCTCGCAGGATTTGCGTCGTACGTACTCGCACGTGGCCCAGTAAGGCAGAGAGTCGGTCTCATCAATCATGTAGGTCGACTCTGGAATTAAGTTATGCAACGAAGCGTAAAGCTCGTTTCGCTGATCCATGCCGTCTTCTCCAACGCGAGTACAGCCTTCGATGACTGTCATGTTTCTGAAGGATCCATTTGTACTGGACGGGTAACCATCGTACACCTGAAACCAGGTGTTTGAAAATCCAGGGTACTGAAACGACCCAATCAGTGTCGCCTCGTAGTTCGATCTGGTCAAGTCATCGCTGCCTTCCTGGACATAACCTATCGGATTCTCGGACATGATCGGACGTTCTGAATGATACCGGTTGACTTGTTTCTGATAAAGGGGGCCAAAATCTGACTACAACAAAAAGCCCAAATCCCCGAACAAGGTCTGCTCGTATATGTATATATTTATATGTAGACTCTTCAATGGTGGTCGAACAAAGGAGAGGGTTCCCCTGGTTCTCGGTAAGTCACGAGCTGATTCCCGTTATCGAAATATCACGGAGTCAAACATCTTCTAAGGTCACGTGCTACCCGTGGAACAGAATAGCTACCTCTCGGGCAGCTGGTTGCTTGCAGTATGCCGGTCACGCGATTCGTCGGGAACTAGAGGAGCCTCGATGTCGTATGACCCATAAACTTCAGCTGCAAGTCTACCTACATGATGCACGACATACAGAACCACCAGACCGCCACTCATACGCCTACGCGCCGATTGCTAATTATCGAATAATCACGATCGAGATTGCTACCGCTAAGCGCATCTGGCCACATCTATATAGAACTCTACTTTTTGACTCATTTTCATCTCTAGCCCCTCCCATAACTGCAACCACCACATCGACTGGGCATCAAATCTCTCCATATACGCTTCTCAACGCCTTCAAGTAGGTCTGGCAGCATGGGCCTTCGAGATTGTCCTTCAACCCAAGAACACTGCTATGTGGAAGCATTGCCCTGTACTTGTGAATGGCGATCACAAACAGTTGAGTTCTTGGGTATGCATGATGCCCCAAGCAAGGCTCCAGGTCATTTTCGTCTTCGTAACCCATGGCCCTTCTGAAAGCGATGATGTAGGCCCGACGGATCTTGCCATCGCCGCTACGTAACTCCGGATCTACTCTGATGTCAAGTGTGCAGCTAGGTGCCCCGGGTATTCCGACTTCCCTTGAAACCTGCTGAACAAAAGCTTTACGGTTTATATGGTCCAAAACTATCTTGCAGGCCCATTGCTCTTCCTGTAAATTTTCGCCTGAGCAGGAAAGGAACGGCATAATGTGTTGCAGTGCAGAGTAATCCACAACAGTCTCCAGAGGCTGCTCGATCACACTCGGAGGTTCAGTGGCGGTGTCAGAGCCTACAACGGTGACTGTCATCAGACCGGGATATTCGAATGTTGCGAGGCTTCGCGAATCCGATCGTGCTGAGCTCTGCGATGGCGCGTATCCGAGCATGGTATCTTGGTGGTATAGTTGGGGATTTTGTGTGATCGGATAGGCTGGATCGAAGTGTGATAACCGAGGATCACAGTGACGGGTACCATCCTGGTTACTATTCCTGGATCTGAGGGGTATATAGCGACCCGCTCCTACCGCTTTCGTTGCAGCGAATCCCATCGCAATTCCTCTGTGGCGGCAGCTTCGTCGTAGCTTCTCCATGAAGAATCAAAGGAGGGGAGTGATACGGAGAAGTTTCAATGTCGGAGCCTGGCATTCGTGGTTCTCAGACTTGACCATCATGCTCCTCTTTCTCGGTGAGCGTTGCCGAAATCATCGCTTTGCCTGCACATTGAGTGCCAGGTCCATGCATACGATCATTGATATGCTTTTCCTCGGCGTCCTAAACTGGTCGACGCATCAGAATACAACCGGGAGCAACACATACCCCGACTAAGTTACATATCCGGTCACATCCCACGGTATGAAGGTAATGAATGATGTTCGTGTGTGCATAAACTCCACCAGCACAATTTCGCTGTATCCAAGAAAACACGTAGTATATGTACAAGGCTCAATAAAGTCTCTAAAAGGGTGAGGTCGAAAAGAACATCTGCTCTATTCGGACGCAAAATACATCATGTGCAGATCGTCCATCACGTCTGCCAATGGACCAGGCTTTTCCTTAAGCCATAGTACGTATTGTCTCGAATCGAGCTTTGTCCTTTTGCCTTGTGATCTCAAGTGATGAAGGCTCTTGTAAACAGCACCGCTGAGATGTATGAGTCTGGTTTTCTGTTCTTTGTCTGGTCCCTTGGACGATTTTGACCATTGGCGCCAGAGGAATGTGGCCGTCTTGAAGACTTTGCCTTGATCCCCAGGTTCAACACCGACCGTCCAGTAGGTCTTATCCCTTGCCAGCTTCGAAACAGATAAGAGAAACTGCGCTTTCGGTTCGTCAGGTTCAAGTCGTTCAATCACAGCAGAGAGCGCTTGCCCTAATTGACTGTTTCCAAAGAAGCTTGCGTCAGCGATACCGTGAAACTGTAAGCTTGTTTCATAAGGTCCATCAGACGGAAAGTTGATGGGTTGGGCAATGCTGGATGGCAAGCTATTCGACTGTAAGCTGCTGGATGGCAAACTGTTCGACTGCAAGCCGATTGGTGTCGAGATATCCGACTGCAAACTGGAAGGCTGTTCGTTGCTGTTCCCAGAACTTATGGAGGACGATCGCAATGAGTTTTCTGGCTCTTATCTTTTGCATCTATGGCTGGCTGGAACGTTACTTCTCCCCGCCGATAAACCATCAAAGGAAGCTCTGAGAGGCCGCGCCAGTGCGCCCTTTTGTGATTGACCGGGTTGCCCTCCATCGAGTGTCACGAGACCAATCATTTGTCAAGAACCACAGGGCACTTGATGACTGGGCCCGGCACGAGCTGGAAGGCGTTTCCTCTTTACTTCTACATAGCTGATGATGAAGCATGCGATCTTCCGACACTCCGAAATTCTGAATAGAAGTTCAACTGAACCATTTGTGCGGCAGTAGCCCCATGCGACGGCCATATCTGTTCTCTAGGGATGGCATCTCGATTTTCAAGTAATAACCTTGATGAGTAGACTTCTCGCTGTTTGACCGAGCGCTTGATTCGCCCGCTCATGCTTCCGAGCCGATCAGCATCTTCCAACGACCAGACATCTCAAGCGAGATCGCACCACCTCGCAAGCTGTCATGACATGTTTGGACAGAGATCTATGGAGGACCATCTTTATCAAACGCTCAATATTATCAGGACTGTTTTTGAGGAGGCCTTGCGCTCGCAAAATGAAGCCTTCGAGAATCGGTCGTCCTGGATACTGTCAAAACCGTACACGAATATCGCTTCTTCTGCTTCACTAACCGAGGACATAAAATAGCTACCGGATCGCTTACATACACGATGTTTGGTGGATACTTCTAGACCACCCTCGACCATCATGAATGTATTCTGGTATATGAGCTCGCGGTGAATCGTCTTTACTCTTTACTCTATCGTCACGCCTCTTGATTTGTCGTCACGCCTAGAATTCCTGTCCCTGAGACTAGCTTCGACCAGTCCTGTGAGAGGGACTGATTGTATAACTGAAACAGTGGGTTTGTACAAAGATACTCCTTATGAAAGCCCGCCAACCTCTGGTCGTCATACCGTCCAGGAGAAAGGTTACAATCGAGACCATCCCGACGGCCCGACACAGAAGAACGGACAACGATTGACGGCATCAAGGCTATGTGAGGGACAAGCGAGGTGTAGAATTACTTTACTGATTCAAATACAGCTCGTATAATACCGGAATGAACTGGCTCAATCCAGGAATCCGCGCTCCATTAGTTCCCCGAAGCCAGATATCGTACCGTTTGGTATCCTTCGCGCTTTCCCTCAGTCCCATCAAGTCTTGTTGAATGTCTGCGACAATCAGGGCAAGAAGGCGCAATCTCTCCTCATTGATGTGGTCAGGATCTTCCCATGGCAGTTTCTCTCTCAGGAACCTTTCAGTAAAAGACCATCTCATGTGCTCTTCAGTAGACCGTTTCTTCTGCAGGATGTCTGGCTGATTCATACGGTCCCGGAAAGACTGGAGAAATTTTGTTTCCGGAGCATCTTGCCCACGTTCTGTCATAATGGTAGAAATGGCTTTTTCTAATGTAGAGTCGTCAAAGCCTGAGGGTTTGCTGCTCTCTATACTGTTGCTGTAAGGTTGAGAAGACATTGTGTAGATTTGAGAGAAAGCTAGTTCAGAGCTGAGTTCGGGATTGACCGGTTTTGAATCTTAGCTTTGACAGAGCCCCTGGTCTCGTTGCAGCCGCCCTTATATCCTTGCCTGCGAGCTGAGAATGTCTCTTTCCTGCATGTGAGGCTATTGAATGACAAAGGATGACCTGTCACTAGAACATTCTGTGGGTTGGGGTTTTCGGAAGGACAGAAGTAGAATCAGACAACTTGACGAGCGGAATCTCGATTATCGGCACAACGATTAGTATCAACAGGTTGAGAACCATGTCACTCCTTTCCGATCTTTCGATGTAGCGATGTATTCGGATCACAGTCTTGCGGCCAGCTTGCGCCAAATAACGGCTCTGTCCACTGTCTGCCTTGATCATAGATGGTTCTCTACTCATGTAGCAGCGGGCATTCGTTGACGGTCTCAATCTATACTAAAGGCATCCTTTCCATGGTCCGTCACACGCCCTTGGCTGCCATGACCGATTTCATATCCTCTCGCCTGTAGCCGCTGACCACTATCATTCCTAATCGTATTGAAGTGAGCCATTAATACAATCATTACGTTGCGACGGAGACATCTTTGTCATTCTTCTGCCGCTTGCCAAGCTCATCCTGTCGCTCGAGCGCTCGGCACCACCGTACGGCTTCTCCTTTGTTGATGCATGTAATGAGACCGATCACGATCTTAATGATGTTATCGCTATGGCCCATGTACACACATTTACGCTCCCCGTTCGTCCATTTCGGCTCTCTCCGGACCTAACAAGGTGTCACTAGGTGACAGGTGATCTTCCAACCACGATCAGGTGAGAGTCTGAGGTTGTCATCTTGGAAGCTCTGCTGGCTGGGATATCTTGGATCGATAGCGAGGGAGATTAGTTACCGGTGTACAGTGGCAGGATACCAATATATCTAACCGAAATGGACCCAATGGACCCTTTTTCCTTTACAGTAAGCCTTCAAAGAATATCTCTATCGATAACAGTCTAGGTCCCGCCAAGGGATACAAACTGGGAATCTAAATCTACGAAGTCACTGAGAGCTACACGTCGAAATACATCAAGCACAACCCTTGCATGACTCCTTTCAATCCACCATCCACCAACCACTCTTGATAAGCGTCTTTAGTCTCGTCAGGATCAAGGAATTGTAGCCCCTGCAAGTGGTAGTGGCTGAAATAGACAGCTGCACCTATGACCTTGATCCTCTCGCCGGCAGCATCCCGTTGCCACTGTTTGGCAAGGTAAGCAATGGTTTCTGACACCTTGATTCGATCTTCGCCCCAAGCAGCTACAGTGGGATCGGTACCACGTTGTACAGTAGTCGCGCCCAAACGTCCTGCAGGAACAACCTCGCGCCAGCGTCATCGAGGTCTGCTGTAAGGTTCTCGAGGGTTCGACCTGTCTCGGAATCGCCAAAGATACTTGTACCGTCACTGGTAGACATGATGAAAGATAAACAGGGGTCCACGTCGATATGAGTAGCCGAGTAAGGAGTTGAATAAGAATTTGAGGGTTCGATGGGCTTGAAGTTGTTGGCTATAGCCCTCCGCGATCTCTGCTTATCTTCTGGCCGAATGGGCTCGTTACTATGGCCCATATATGCGGATGTACATGAACACATTGCGCCATTAATCGACATGTACGGTAGTCCTTTCAAAGCCTTTCGCCACGGGCAACGGATCTCTCCGTGTAATGGCGCACCTCGTCTCCTCCGTCGGTCAGCACCGCCTTGTACTTTCTCCTTTGTTCTAGGTGATCTCACGAGATCGATAACGGGGTCATGGTACAGGACGAGTACACGCCCCAGCTGTCGGTTCTATATTGTGACTCTCCGCCAGCCGATCCTACCCCTCTACTCTCTAGTGTGGCTATAACTCGGCATCTGTCCTGCTTATCAAGCAGATATGATGCTCCTTTGATCATTCGTTCGATACAGCCTCCGCGCTCGCCATAGTGAAACGTTCGTTTGACGAAAGACTCCAAGCCAGATCGACATCATTCTCCCACTTTTCGGATCACAAGGTCTCACAACCGGGCGCCAGTCTTTCCGACATAGCAGCAACCCAAACCCCGTTTGGTTACGCTACCTTGCCAGTCGATGCTTGCCTCTGAGCAAGCGCTTTCATCGCGACGTCCGCCTTTCGATATCCTCAGACACTATAACCGTCTGAATACATCGCTGAGTCTCTTCTATGAGGCTCATAACTGTATGTGATGCATAGCATGCATAGCGTATTCCCGTTACAATCAGGATTTGCCACCCTCTAGATGATGCGAGGTAGATCACGTGACCTCCCGACCGTCGCTGATGATGATGACATATCCAAAGTCTCTACAACGCTACAACCGACATCTGACTTCATCGTCGCTGTCACCTCACATCGTATCAACACACTGCATACAGCTCCTAGCTACAGCTCAAGCTCTCTGGATCCTCATAGACCTCCCCCGCGGAACACCCGTCGAAAATGGTCAACGAACACCCCCAAACCGGCTCGTCCGCATCCACCTCCTCGGTCTCCTTCAAGGCGAGTCTCCACCCGGACCCTCTCTGCTCTCTTACCTCTCTCCCTGTCATAATAGCTAAGATATCCATTTCTATTGATATGATTGCGTGGTTCTTGACTTACAGACCGAATTCGCCGTAGATATGACCTGCCAATCCTGCGTATCCGCCGTGACGAAAGCTCTCCAGACCGTCCCGGGGGTGGAGGATTATGATATCAACTTGGAGAAGAAGCAGGTCGTCGTTACCGGTCGAGGTCAGTAGCTTCAGCCCGAATCCGAATCAGGATATCCCGGAGTTTTCTGGAAACTAATAGGTTGTTGTGGGGTACTTGGGTGGGATTGTAGCTCCCCCGTCGCTGGTCACCAGGGCTCTGAAAGATACAGGCCGACAGATCCTCATCCGTGGGTCTGGTACGACGACCGGTAAGTCACGCTGCTTCTTCGCCTGCTCCGGACTATTCTCTCTCTATAAGATCGCGAAGCTGATCATGTCCGCTAATTTTGTCCTGGTACCTATCAGGCGAACACGAAGGCGCCGCCGTAGCGATCTTCGAGACCCCCCTAGGTCCCTCGCTCGGAACCACCACCACACCCAACCATAGCCAGCTTGAAGAGACCCAAAAAGTACACGGAATCGCCCGTTTAGTCCAAGTCTCTTCCAGCCCGGTGTTGTCGTTGTTGGACTTGACGATCAGGTTCCCTGGGTATCCTCTCGCCGCTCCGTCCTTGTCTACTTCTTCTTCGTTATCATCTTCGGGCTCAACGGGCACACCTACGAACTCTATACACACAAGAACAAGCTCCCCCGACTCGTACACCCTCTACATCTCCCGCACCGGCGACCTAACCAACCTCCACACCCCTCCTTCCTATTCCATCTCCACGCCGCTGCACACCCTTACCACCCTCCAACCCGACTCAGAAGGGTACGCCGACGCGTTCTTGGAGTTGCCGTTTGCTGTATGGGAGGTAGTGGGCAGGGGGATGGTCGTTGAGCGGACGGGGGATTTGGAGGCGCGTTTACAAGCTTTGAACTTGAATTTGAAATCGGATGTCAAGGCGAAAGCGCAAGAGGTGAAAGAGCAGGAGAGGATGAAAGACGTCGTCGGGATCATGGGCGGGAAGGGGAGGTTAGGGATCTTAGCTGGGGTGATCGCTCGGTCTAGCGGGGGTGAGTCCGGATCTGACAAATCCATCTCCGTACTTTGATTTTCGTTATGGCCGGGGTTATTGACCATAATGAACCTCATATCGCATCGTGTTTGACATCTGATCCTTCCGGGAACGATCCATTGTAGTCTGGGGAAATGACAAGACGTAAGCCACCCATCTCCTCCCTTTTGAACTCTGAACCTTGAACGGATCAAGAAGCTAATATTCGATTCTGCATGGCGTGGATGGGAACTCAGGATCTGCGCGTGTAGCGGCAAGACGATGTGGGAGGAAGGCCGGACGATGGATTCTATCAGCCAGGTCCCCGTCTAGGTGTAGTTGTAGGTCCGGGTATGTATAGTCTGATCGATATAACAGTGAATTCTTATGGTATTAAACGACCGCGACCTAGCGTGCCGAGTCGCATCGACGTCACCATACCATGATACCCGCGCAACGTTTGTCCTTTACAAGTATCGCCGGGCTTTGCAGTGATAGACGATTCGTGAGATCGTGCACTTGCTCTGAACAGCATCTGTTCATCTGGCTTCAGGCATCCGATTCAGCGCAAGGCTTCATGAAGAGCGTCCATCCAGCTCAAAATATAGACCTAGCAAAATCAAAGATGCTTCTTAGCATGGTTATTGTAACGTCACTCATCACCGCAATCTCTGATTGACTGCCCGACTGCTCGGCTGATCGATTTCGTCGCAAGTCGGTTCGGGGGTGGCGGTGGGTGTGATCCGATCCCCTTAACCTTTGCGGCGCCCGATCGAGCGCGGCCGAGGATTCGAGTCTTACAAAGAGCGAAAGAGCTCACAAGATGTCGACATCCTTTCTTCTCCATATCTCGTGGTCTCGTGACTTCTCAGCCCGACCTAGATTCCAGACCATTCAAAGAGCTAGCTACTACCACCCGGTCGACCGCCTACCCTGCGAAAACACGAAGTGAATAGATCACCCTGGGCAACCTAGGGGCTAAGGGGGAAACTCTTCGCAGTAGTCAGAAGTGACATCTCGAGCATGCTTTTCCACATCTCGGCTTTCAGTATCATCATCGCGCTCATTTTCGGTGAGTCCAAATCAGTCCATTGGCGAAGTATAGAAGTATCTGTCTGTGCGGACCTCCCAACTCATACTCATATCTTCCCGTATGGCAGTCATCGTCTACAAACGAGCCCGCATCATCCCCTTCCTCGCACCCTACCTCCCGTCCAGGATGTCAACCTACCTCTCCGGCTACCAACCCTTACAATCTTATTCGTTCGCCGACCAAGCAGCTGCGGGGATGTCTAGTTCTTCATTCGACGTCGAGTCGCAGAACATGGCTAGCGGGTCGGGTGAGGGGCGGGTAGGGCTGGATAGTGAGGGCGTGGAGGAGGTTAGGAGGATCATGTGAGTTTCAAGTCAAGTCGTCTTTTCTCCTATATATCTCTATTTTATGGTTGCAATTCAATGGATGTTGCTTTGCACGGAGTTCGCTGAACAACGAAACTCCTCTTCTTGGCATGATGATCACTGTACCACTGTGATGGTTGTGATACGCAGGGCCATCAACAGATGTACGTTCGACCAGGCCCGCTTGATCCGTCATAACCAGATCCTCGCGGCGAACGGGATCGCTCCGGACGGTAAGCCCAGTCTTCCCTCTCTTTGTTCCTCCTCTGTTCCCTCTCTGCCTCCCGTTTGCTCCCTCTTCGCTTCCCATATCTGCACTTCCCATCGCATTCTCCCGAAAGCCTTGTCGAGCTGGAACTGATCTTTGTTGTCTGTGATCTGCCTTGCATTGGCGTATGATATGAACTACCTCGTCATGCGGACTTTATACTATATGGGTATGCCGGTATAATTCTGTGGCTGCAGGCACTCCTCTGGTAAGTCAAGTCCCGTCATAGATCGTCTCGACACCAGACGCGGGCACAAAGCATCATGAGCTATTATACTGATCATCTACTACCCTGTTTGACGGTTGTTTTGGTGGGGACAGGATTCGAAAGCTATTACCCGACTCTAGATTCCCCATCCATCACAATCATATCACATCCCCCATATCGAAATGGCCTTGAACTCGGACGACCGGCAACTCCCCCACTACTCAGTACCCAAGCCGAGCCCTCGATCGAGCTCACCAGCACAGCCCCGACTCGAGCTTGAAGTGTGGCTCGAACCCGGAACGTTATACTCGTTATCGACTCATCAAGATCGAACCCGACCTTCACATATCGACCTCCACCTCACCCGTACAGCCCCTGTTCCCGATTCTCGACTTGACACCCGACTAGACCACTTGTATCTCATCTCACTTTCATCAACCTCATTTGGTTCTTGTACGATCACCTTTTTCTGGATTCAGTAATGGATATAATATGGTTCAATTAGCACGACTTCTAGAACCTCGAAAAAGATCCACGGAGATGGCTACGATGGGCATGAAATTGGGGATCGATCTGCCGTTTCGACGCGCAGGAACTGCTCTTTCCTCTGTACGATGCACTCAGATATCCAGGAGCTGAACACGGGTCAAATGCTTCAGAACTCATATGAGTCGGGAACGATCTCGCTGAGCATACTGTGATCATCCGGATCTCGACCTTCTCATGTTCCCAGGAAATCGAGTTCTTTTTCGTTTCGTACAATCATTATTGTACCGGTAAGCGGATTATGTAAAGCATCTTCTATCTTTATCTATTTAAAATCTTTCTCCTCGCGATTCGCTAAACCACCTCTAAGCCTTGTTGTCCTTGCCCTTCCCGTTACCCTTGTTCTGATCCCGATCGGTAGATCCCAAACCCAAAACCTTGGCCATGTGGAAGAAGATGTCGGTATTCTCCATCACCCCTCGGAAGACGGCGACAGCTTCAGGCTTGCCCTTGGTAAAGATAGGAACGTCCTGCAACGAATGGATCCCCTGAGTCTGGTCGGCAGGGATGGTCCCGTTGGTCAAGTACCCATCGGGCTTGTCAGCCGGGTTGGCGTAGGCGGTCCCGTTCTGGGTGATGGCGGGGAGACGAGGACCGTTCTTGGCGATCGAGTAGGATTCTTGGACGTCAGGGTGGGCTCCGAAACCGGCGGCGATGGTGTATCGGGGGTCCCACTGGACGGGGAAGTTGGGGCCCTCTACGTCGTGGAAACAAAGCTTGTCAACGAGTGACCCGGATGAAACGCGTACAAGCTGGACATCGGCACTCACGGTCACCGTAGACGATGGTCTCGTTGTCAGGTCGAGAACCCTTGGCGACCTGGTACTCGGAGTGCCCCGAAGATTCGTAAATTCCGATAGCGCTCCTCTTGACCCTATCATCGTCCTTGGCGGTCATGTACTTGGAATCACTCGACCCAAAGACGTCGAACCCGTGTGCGTGATCGGCGGTGACGACGATCAACGTCTCGTCCAGCTCGCCAATCGTTTCCAGATGAGCGATCGTCTGTCTAACCGTATCGTCCAGCTCCAAGAGTTCTCCCAAAGCTCGGTCATAGTCCATGGCGTGGAACATCTTGTCGATCGAGGCGGCCTCGCTCATCAGGAAGAATCCCTTGTCGCCCGATCGGGAGTGCAAGACGTCGATGGCCTTCAAGGTCATCTCGGCGAGTCCGGGTTGGTTGACAGCGGTACCATTACCAGTGGGGCTCTTGGTGATGTTAGGAAGGTTCTGAGGGAAGATCTCTCGGTCGATCCACTATAAGTCGATTCAACAACGAGTCAGCCTGTGCGCCTAGCTCGAAGATGTACACCCGCGCCTGTTGTCGCTCACCTTGGCCATGTTCGACTGACTGAACACTCCCAAAGTCCTCTGACTAGCATCCGCGGAAGCCAACTGATCCTTGTCGTTGACGACCTGGTACCCCGCCTGCCTGAAGACCTCGTAATAGTCCTTCTTGCCTGGAGATCCCGATCCGGCGATCCACTGCTCGGCACCACCTCCGAGGAGGACGTCGGGGCCGGACCACGAAGTCCAGTCAGAGTAGTTCGAGGTGACTCCGTTGAGGTACATCTCGGTGATCGGGGCGTATTGACCTCGCTGTATAGTTGAAGTAGTGGGAACAAATCAGCTGGGCTATTCAAGTCCACGCACTACGGCTGTGCCGACTCACGTCACGGGTGTGGGCAACCAACGAGGCAGGAGTAGCGTCCGCCAAGAAAGCAGTCGAGACGATCCCAACCTTTCCACCTCGCTGCCTGTGGAAGACTAGCAAGATCGCCCATTTTACACATCAGTCACAGCAAAACTCATGTAATAACAGCTGCGACTCACGCTCAGCGATAGTCTCCACCTTGGGGTCATCAAAAGGGTTGGGAGAAGAATCCCTGTAAACCCCGAGGGCATTAACCGTAGACTTGTGGCCGGTCATGATGGCAGTAGCCGAGTTGGCAGAGTCGGTGATGAAGCTGCAGTCACGAAGCGGGACAAATTTCGGTGATCAGATCGAAACACAAGGAAAGAGCACATCCTCGAGTGTTAAGAGACCGGTCACGTACGTATCCATAGAATGGGTCATCTGCAAACCTACCCCGTCCATCTTGTCCAATTGCATCTGCACCCATACAGACCGTGAACACCCACGTCAGCATCGAAACATGTTCGACCCAGCCCAAATTGAGGCTTACGGTGGACTGGTACTTTCCGTTGATCTGCTTGTGAGCGAGCAACCTCGCCGCCGTAATCTACAGTATGTTGCGCCACGGTAACGCACGTTTCGTCCACAAATACGATCATCAGCTTCCGAAAGTACCTCCGACCATATGCTTCCGAGCCCAGATCTCCAGGACTCACCGCCGACTGGGGCATGCCATCCCCGATGAACAAGATCACATTCTTGACCAAAGGCTTCTCACAAGGTTCCCTAACCGTCCACCTAGCGACCGTCTCTTGTCCATCATAATACTTCAACGTTGCCGTATACTCGCCCGGCTCCGACAAGGACAACGATCGGTACGCTTTACTCGCGACGTTGACTTCCGTAGGGGTCTTGGCGTCTAGTGCAAAGAGGTCTTCGTACCAAGTAAAGTTCCACTTCTCGACGGTAGTATCCGGAGTCTGGAAGAAATCGGTGATAGAGGCCGAATAGCCCTTGTTGTTGGAGATCTGGAGGGAGAAGTTTTCGTCGGGGACACCGTTGTTGAAAGCTTCAGAGCCGTTGACGGGTGCGTGGACCTAGAAGAAGTTCAGACGTAAGAGGTTAGTGGAGTTGACTTGAGATTTCGAATCGAGCGAAGAGAATGTGGATATAGCGAAGACGAGACACCCACCTCGAGCCTGATATCAAACTTGGCTCCAGCCAAAAACTCCGCCTGGTCGGGTGGGAACACACATCCGAGCGTCGGGCATCCTCCTGCATCGACCGAATCACATACACCAAATGACGGGAGGAGACGAGATGATCAGCCTGCGAGCTCGGATTATAATGCCGCAGAACAGAAGACGACCCGGTGTACGTCGAACAGAAACGGAGATAGAGGTGTGAAAGATCAAAACTAAGGACTGACCTAATCGCTGAAAAGTCTGACCCAGAACAGGTGTGGCTATGGAAGCCAGAGAAGCGAGGGCGAGGTAAGTGGACCGCATACTTGTAGTCGTCGCTTTCCTCTCTATGTTTGCCGGTTGGTGAAGATTGGTGGTGATGAGGGAGGAGGGGTGACGAGTAAGGTCAAAACGAGGACTTGCCAGATCAACCTTCACATTATATATACTTGAACATCACACGCCCCGGAGCATACAGCCGGAGGGGTATGATTTTTTTGTTTATTCGGTGTGAATGGGGATATCGCACGTTTCCTCTCGATCGTCTCCCGGAGCGATATGGACCACCGAGCACGGGCCAGAATGTGCGTCGAAATTGCCTCAACCAGTCTTCACCCGCGCGCTAACGGAGAAATGCGAGCGAGATCAACCAAGGGAGCCTTGACTTCATTTCGGTTGATGACTTTCGAGGGCGATACCTCGTCAACAAATAAACTGCAACAGATGATCCCCCCATCACGACTACTACAAGCTCTCTTCGAGAAGGATATCTCTTGACGTCGTTTGACGCCCTACTTCTATCCGTCTGTCAATGTCCCTGGTACGAACGAACAATCCCCCCCTAGCCCCCCGTTCGACTTTCTCCCTTGGTTACGATCCCGATGCACGTTCTCTGCCAAGACGACCCTTGTTTACGATGTCGGGTAATGAATCGAAATTTGCTTCCGGGAGTAGCGTCCTGATCGACCGGGGCGAGCAGAGGCACGGGCATATCCGATACGCGTCGCCCTTCGTCGCAGGATCACGGCATTGTCCTCGGAAGTAAATCTAGCGTGGGTCCTCCGGCGGAAAGATATCACTGGAGAAGCGACAAACGTTCGTTTTCGACGTTTCGACATTGGAATCGTGTATCGCATGTGTCGCGGAAGCGAGTCTTCCCCTGTGCCCAATGAGAGCGTAGAGGGTACCGTATGGAGCATGGCGATCTCTACCACGCAGTATCTCCCCAAGGTCGCGAATTGTCTACCGGGAAGATCATCGAGCGCGCACGATGTGGTTTTCAACCCTGAGCGAGCGGCCCCGAAAGAGCTCGAAACTTGTACCATGGCTGGCTGATACGATCGACGCTACCACGATGCACGAGGATTAACCCAATTCCTCTTGAATTGCCCGGACTAAAGCTTGATTCTCTTCTGACACGGCGGGTCCGCATACGGTACGGCGCGTGATGGAGGACAACGAGGTTCTTCACTTGTTGCCTGGTAGAAGCGTAGTTCTGGGCAATGGATTCGTCGACACTCGTAGAAACGGCGGCGGCAACGGCAGGTGCAGCAGGCCGGGCCGGAGGGGTAGGATTGACGACGGGAGCTGGGCGTTTCTCCGACTCGGTCTTCAGGCTCTGGATGTGATCGTCCTGGAGACAGAGTTGAACATCTGTCACGGGGAGGCTAGAATACGTCGACGCGGGAGTTGTTGGGCGGTTCGGGGCGTTTTGGTACTATAGCGGCCGTTTCGTTGTGACTTAGTCCACGATACAGAAGGTAACGGTATGATGAACTTCGATATCGTCGCTTAGAACCCAATTCGGTTCTAAGCTCCTCATTCTACTCTACAATAGATCGCCCTCCTCTAAACTACGTTGCGGCGGTGTGTTCGACCGGTCGAGAGCGCGTCTTGGGCTTAATTGGGCGGAAAAGCCAAATAAAGGCGCGTTCCGTAGCGCGTCGGGATAAGTCCGAGGTTATGCTGAGCCGACGTTCCGGTTCCAATTGTCACTCGGTGACAACATCATGTATGGATATCCTGGTCTCCTTGATGGCCAAATCCAGACCAATCTGGGTGATTTTGAGACAAAGCTACGTGATGGTCTTTTTGTAGTCCTCCTGTCTGAGCGAAACGTCTTCACTTTTGGTGTTACGGCGACGAGTCCGCCGGGCTGGTGCCCCGGGTCGGTCCGCCGGACAAGTGAGCGGGAGAGAGGCGAGGGTAGGAGTATACATCTATATAGTAATAACGGATGCCCAGCATCCGGTCTTTAGTGATAGTACAATGTTCGAATGTAAACAACAAATACGGCGGAGTCCGCCCTCGGGGTGGCCCGCCGGAGCGCGTCTCGGCGCGCCCCGCCAAGAGAGAGAACCACACAGGATGACTAGACATGGAGACTACTACTATACAAGGTGATGATGAGAGAAGGGGTCTTGTAGGTACGCGCAACGCGCGCACCGCGTCTCGACCGCGTCGATCTCTAACAGTATCCCCCGTCTAGACACAAACTCCGGATGTGTCAGTCGGTACTCTCCGAACCCCCTTTGCGGTACTCCGACCGGCGTGGGGTTGGCTTCGCCGGGTATTGGCGATGGAACGATATCACGACGTCGTCGTCCCAGTCGAATTCTCCGGCTCCGACCCAGTCGTTGTGCGCCATGTCGTACCCCTTCCACGAGACGAAGTATTCGACTCGAGCGACTCGACCCTTACGCACTCGGGAATCCAGGATCTCTGCCACCTCGTAAGCAGCCTCTCCGTTGTCGGCTACCTCGGGCGGTGGCGGCGGGTCTACCCGTCGGCTCTCCCTAGTGTTCGCCTTGTACGGTATCAATAACGATACGTGGAACACGTTGTGCACGCGCCTCATACTGCTAGGCAGCTCCAATCGTCGGGCAAGGCCCGAGTTTCCCACCTTCTCCGTAATTCGGAACGGGCCGAAGGTCTTCCAATCCAGCTTCCTGCTCGGTCGAACGGTGGTGATGTGTTCAGACGACAACAACACCAGATCCCCGACCTCGTACCCCTCCGTCAGCACATTCCGTCGCTTGCGATCGGCGTACTTCGCCATATTGGTCCGTGCGAGCTCTAGCGACTTCATAACCTGCTCGCGGACCTCTTCCATACGCTCCCGGAAGGCTGCTGCCGACTCGATGCTCCCCGGGACTTGGCGAAGGGAGAACTTGAAATCTTCTCCTTCGGAGGCCATGAAAGGCGACATCTTGATCGCCGAGTGCCACGCGTTGTTGTAGGCGAATTCCGCCATAGCGATCAACTCCGCCCAATCATCCTGCTGGAAGTTCGTGTAGCTCCGGAGATACTGCTCCAACGTGGAGTTGGTCCTCTCTGTCTGCCCATCAGTCTCGGGGTGGTACGCCGTTGACAGCCGCTGGTTCATCCCTGTGATCTTGCACACGTCCCTCCAGAATCGCGACGTAAACAACGCCCCTCGATCGGTCAACAAGTCCTTAGGGTACCCATGGAGCCGCACCCATTCGTTGACGAATATCGACGCCAGCGCATGCGTGTCGTCGTCCTTTCAACAGGGCACGAAATGCGCCCTCTTCGCAAAACGATCCACTATTACGAGGATCGAATCAAATCCCTTTGACACGGGCAGCCCCGTGATGTGGTCCATAGTGACCGACTTCCATTTCCCTTCCGGTACCGGCAGTGGGTGCAACTCCCCCATGGGTTTTGCCCGCGGTCTCCTGTTCCGCTGGCATACGTCGCAGGTCGCCACATACTCGGCCACTGTCTCTCTCAGTCGGGGCCACCAGAATTCCCAGAGCACCATCTCCGTCGTCTTGTCCCGACCATAATGCCCGACCAGCTTCTGGTCGTGACATAGCGCGAGCACTTTGCTGCGCAATACCTCCTTATCGGGGACATACATCCATCCTCGATAAAGGAGGAACCCGTCGCTGTCCACCGTCCATTCCTCCGCTTTGCCTTCCGGCGCTCGGGAGACCCGCTCGGCTCCGGCGGTCAACTCCGCGTAGGCGTCTTTGACGAAGGCGTCTTCCTTCAACTCCGCCAGCAGTAGACGCTGGATCTCTTCTTCCGGAAGTTGCAAGGTTCCGCATATGCGGAGTGCTCCCTGGCACTGGTCCGTCGCAACGCTCCGGCGGAGCGCCCCTTCGCTCTCCTCCATCGTGAGAGCATCCAGCTGCATCGGCAGCTCGCTGTTCTGCGGCCGTAGCAGAATCTCCGTTTCCAGGACCTTGGAGTCCTTCATCAGTTCTTCCCGGCGGCTCAATGCGTCGGCCTTACCATTCTCCGTCCCGGGCTTGTACTCCAGGGTGTAGTTGAACTGGTTCAACCGCTGCAACCACCGCGCTTGTCTCCTCGTCAGCATTTTCTCGGTACGGAAGTACTCGAGGTTCTTGTGATCCGTAAGGATCCGAATGAGTCGACCACTGTCGAGGTACTGTCGCCATACCGTGCAACTATACACGATCGCGAGGAGCTCGCGGTCGTGAACGTCGTAGTTCCTTTCGGCCGACGTCAGACTTTTCGACTTGAAAGCCACAGGGTGCATCTTTCCGTCGGCTCCCTCCTGGGACAGCACCGCCCCGATCGCCCCAGAGGAGGCGTCCGTCTCCAACAAGATTTCTTTATCCTCGTCAAAATGAGCGAGGATTGGCGCCGTCGTGAACGCCCGTTTCAGCTCCTGGAAGGAGGCCTCCGCCTCCTTACTCCACTCCCATTTCCGACCCTTCTTCGTAAGGTCGTGCATCGGCCTACACTTCTTCGAGTACCCTTCGATGAAGCGGCGATAATAGTTGGCGAACCCCAGAAAAGACATGAGTCCTTTCACGTTCGTAGGGGCCGCCCAGTTGTTGCGACCCGATCCTTTCGGCTGATCTGCAAAGACTATTCCCGTTGTGTTATCACCCAGTTGGTATTTAATGCTCACCTTATCTGTATACTATTTCGCTTCAAGGGTAATGGGTGATCAATCCAGTAGTCTTGAAGTGCACTTGTAGAAGGACGCGGAGCTTGCTTTGTTTGCAAGGGTAGCGAATTGTTTCTTGGTGAATCTCAGAGTGAAGAGATGAGGACAAGTGTGGTTGCTTGTTCTCATCCTTCCTCCCTCATATATATAGTCATGAGAGAAGAGGTAGCTACTACAGCGGTTTGCGGTTTGCGGTTTGCGGTTTGCGGTTTGCGGTTTGCGGTTTGCGGTTTGCGGTTTGCGGTTTGCGGTTTGCGGTGTGTGGCTGGTGAAGGCTTGCCCTATTGGCAATAGTGTATTCGCGTCTCTTTACACCAGTCCAGTACGGACTTGATCTTAGAGTCGTTCATTTGAACGCCCTGTGAAGTAACATCATACCCCAAAAACTCGGTGTGGTCCGTATCGAACTCACACTTCTCGGCTTTCGCGTAAAGCCCGTTCTCCAACAATCTCCAAAGGACCTCTCCGACGGCCTCGTCATGCGACTCCTGATCCGGTGAGAAAACCAGGATGTCGTCCAGGTAGATAACCACCTTGGTGTCCAACATATCTCGGAACACGTGGTTCATCCACCTCTGGGACGAGGCTGGAGCATTG